ATCATAAGACTGCTAAATAATTTGTTTAATGTTACTAGCTAAATAATGTGATTACTAGAATTGAGGTGAAATTATTATACACTCTACTACTCTGGGTCTGCCATTCCCTATGAATAACCTGTCCTTTTGGGCATCAGAGTGAGTCAGTTTTTTATGGCTCTTTCTGTTTTTATTACATGACATTTACTATGTGTATTATTGATAAATTTGTGGTTGGAAATGAAAAATATGATAATGATTAAAAGCCCCCAATTTTTTATGATTTTGACATGTTAAAATTCCTATTTACAACTAGAAAACTATAGAAAAGGGGGGAAAAAAGTAAGAATGTGGAAACAGCATCTTGATGTTAAAAAGGTCATAGAGATCAAACATTATAGCAATCCCAATGTATAAATAAGGCATTAGTGCCCAGAGAAATAAGTGACTTGCCAAAGTTGACTGAATTAGTTACAGGAGAACACAGAGCTCCTGATTTTGAATCTAGTGTTCTCTTCAGGGCACTTTAAATAATAATTAATGGGCTGAAATTAGCTTCTGAATCTTCAAAGAGAATTACAAGTTCTCCTAGATGGATGTGGTTTTGGAGTACTTTATAATAATATTTCTTTTAATGTCAGACAGAAAAATGCTAATTTTTATTCCAGCCTTTCTATATGAAGCTTTCACCATGACTGTTATAATTCGAATGAGATATGTTTCTTCATTCCCCTTGAATGTATTGCAGCCTATTGTTTCCTTGTTTTGCTTTGCAAAGGTGGGACAGGTGTAAGAGTTTTGGATCCACAGAGTGGGCTGCTTTTCACTGCTGACTTGGAATAGATTCTTTACCATCTGTCATTCTTCCTGGGCTTCCCCCCCTGTGAATTCATTTCTTTAAAAGTCTTTAAGAAGACTTAAGGAATTGCTATCCATGTTGCTATCTAGAAGGAGAGGGGCGTGGGATTGAGGAAGAGAAAAAAACGGGAAGTTCAGGAGGGCAAGGCTGAAGAGGTATCTGGGTTGTAAGAGAGATCAAAGCAGAGAGAAGCTCTGTGCAGAGGTGGGAGGCCTCTCAGACAACTGCCACTGGTTGACTATTTTGTAAAGAGCTGATCCCAGTAGCGATCATAAGAATCTGCAAACTCAAAACTCTTCATGTAAACCAAGATGGAAATCGATTAGAGAATCTTCCAGGAGATGCTGCTTCACTAACATGCAGCAGAGACAGAAGAGAACAGAACATTCTCATACTCGTTTAATCGCTGAAATCTGCTTTTGTCTGGTAGTTGGGCCCCACAGAGTTCCTTTGATATTGAAATCTGTTTCAGGGTTCATTATTTTTTTAAAAAGCTTTGCAAACTTTAGTGAGCTCATTAATTTTAAAAAAAAGAAAGCCGTGACCTGAGAGTGAGAACAAATTGTAGACTGTTATAAGGTATTATTTCTATCCCATACCAATGACCTTGCAGAGTTTAGAACTGAGGGATAGATAATGTTTTTCAAGTTTGAAAGATTGATTATAAAGCAATTACGGGAAAGCATAAAGCCTTTCCACTCCTCAAAAAAGAGAGGCCCTAGTATATAATACAAAGAACAGAGTTAGGCAGAAATTTTCTTTACTCTCTGATTTCCACTTATGTGACTTGAATAAGTTACAAAAACTTTTTGTGAATTTCCTAAAGTTCTTGGTTATTTCATCTGAGTTAACCATATTAAATACCATATCTCTAATATTTCAGGTACACTAGTAAGTTAACTTATCCAATAACTTGCTCAAAGACATCATACAAAACCCTTAAAGCCTTATTATTTAACATGACACTATAAATAATTGAGGTTCCATGACTGATATTTTAAAAATCGGTTTATTACATTTTCCATAATTTAAACTGTAACAAAGGTGGGCTCAATTATATTTCCTGTCACTCAGCTTAAAATATTCTTTCCGATTGTCACTGTGAATGAAGCTGGTAAGTGCCATTTGATATGTGGATGAATGTTTAGTGAAAGGTCAAATACCCTGGGTAGACTCACTGGCCTTCAACTATCTCTTCTATTGCCCTGAAAAAAATATTAGAGATTCTACTGGTAGAGATGATCATTTGGCTTAAAGCTGTTTTAATAATATGTTCAAAATTTCAGAGAAGAAAACATGTGAGGATATAATCAAATAATGATCTCCCATCAAAGAACCTCTAGACACGTTTGTCTCTTTACATGTGGTCCTTTCCTCTCCTTCTTGTGGCCAAATTAATTTTTCATTCTTCAGTTCTTGAATCAAGGGTCACTATCTCAAGAAAGCCTTCCCTAACCTCCAAGACTAGGCCACATTTCTTTGTGAAATGAGTCTTTTCCTTCTGAAAACTTATGTTGGTGCATCATACATTTATTAGTCTAATTTTTTTGAGTATTTGTCTTTTCCAGAAGACCATAAGCTGCACAAAGCAAAGCACTGAATTTAGTAAGATGAAGATCATCAGCAACATTGACAAGAACTGCTTCGTTGAGCAAAGATAGAAAGTCTGGAGGAGTAATTTCAAGAGCAAACGGGGAAAGGTGCATTGAAGATAAACTGTAGACTCATCATTCAACAAGTTTTACTGTTAAAAGAAGCCAAAAATGGGTAGTAGCTATACAGAGAGAGAGAAACATAAAAGAAAAAATACTTTTCTAAAAGATAGAATAAATGATCACGTTTGTATATATATATATATATATATATATATTAATTAAGAGGTTCAGTAGAGATAGGAAACAGTCCCTGGAGTGATGATCTTAAAGGGGCAAGAAGGAAGAGAATCAACATAATGGTGCTGGATAGACCTTGAAAGCATGGACAGAACATCCGTAGACTCAGGAGAGAACCCATCTGTAGGCACACATCTTGATAGTAAGGTAGATTTGATATTGGGAGAAAGTGAGAGTTCTTCTTCTGATGGCTTCTTTTTCTCAGTGAAACAGAACAGAAAGCAAGGTAATCAGACAGGAGCAAGGAAGAGAAGATTTCGAGATTTAAATAGAAGAAAAAGAGTAAGAGAGTCAACTAAGAGAGTTAGAGAGTGAATGAACCACGGAATACAAGACTGCTTGTCAGCGCAGATTCATTTAATACTTTTATCCTATTCCTATGAGATAGATATATTATACCCATTTTATAGATGAGAAAATAGAGGTATAGAAATGTTTCATATTTGGCCCAGAGTTTAGAGTTAATAAGTGGCAGCCAATTTATGCCACATGAGTCTTTTGGATAAAGCCAAAGTCTTTATCTGAAAACCAGTGAAAAAACTGTTGAAGCATTTTAAAAAGGCACATGACATGACCAGGTTTACATTTGGAAAAGATCATACGTGTTAGAATGTAGCCAAAGAAAGTCATTGGTAGCTTGGAGTAGGATAGAGGCAGAAAAACTGGAGAAAAGTGGATGGTAAAAATAAACATTGGAGGTAAAAATAAACATTTGGAGGTAAAAATAAACGTTAGTGATGGGTTAACTATGACAGATGCCGATGATGATGCTGACTTTCAGAATTGCAATGCTGAATGGGTGATGGCATCAGTAGCTAAGACAAAGAGCAAGTTGATGGGAATAGTACTTTAAGTGCTGCATGTATTGAGTTTGCAGGGGCTTCGAGCCCTCGCAATGAAGACATTGAGTAGAAAGTTGGCTGTAAAGGTCTATTGCTCAGATGGCTGGAAATATAAAATCTGAGGCATAGCATAGAGATAATCAAACCATAACTGAAGAGAAGGAGGCTTTGGAATAGGCATCGTTAGAGGAAAATAAGATATAGGATAATATCTTGAGGAACTCCAAAATTTAAAGGATGGTTCCAAGAGGAGATGCCTACAAGTTTCCAGAGAGCCAGGAAGAAGTTAACACTGTAAGTCAAAGGCTCTAAATGGAATATTTCAAGAGGACAACGTGGAGGACAGTGATAGGGCAAGTACGATGAGAAAAATATCCACTGGGTATAGAAATGGTGAAATTACTAGTGACATTAGTCAGCTATTTCAGTAGAGTAATAAAGGCAGATGCCAGAGCTGGAATGTGTTAGGATGAGTTGGAGATAAGAAAATTACTACAGGAAGTCTGGATAAACCTTGTAAGAGGTTTAGCTGAACGAGGAATAGAATGGTGTGGTAGGGGCATGTGGGATCTAGGATTGAAGGTTGGATATTTCATACAGGACAGACTTGAGCTTGTTTAAATATCAAAAGGAAGCTTCCAGTTGACATAGATTAATTCAGTTTGTGGGGATATTAGAGAGATAATATGAGATGGGAGAGGGAGCAGAATCCCAAATGCACATAAGGGGATAGTATCGGCAGTGGCATATCTCTTCTTACATAACAAGAGAACACAGACATCTGGATAGGTTTGTCCAGGTTCTTTGAACATTTGTCCATTATGTTTTCTTTTTCGTATTAATTTGAAAGAGTGCCATATTGTAAGGATATTACTTCCACCTTTTATTATTAAGTTGTATACATTTCTGGAGTTTTGCTGCTTCTTAATTTTAATTAATATGTGATTTATGACATATAAAATTTCCATTATTTCTATCTTGTTTATTTTATCTAATGTCCCTTTACAGTTTTTGCATGTGGTATTCTGCATAGCATGAACTTTGACTTCTTCAAAGTATATAAAAATATTCTTCAATAATATTTTCCAAGACAGTCTTGATTTTTTTCCCTCACTTTTGAAGTTTTAATGCATCTGGAATCATATTTGTATTTGTGTTAGACATGAAGTACGAATCAATACCCAGCCCACCTCCACCACCACCACCTCCGTGGCTGTCTCTAATTGGTACATGATGTTCAACCTCCAGGTTTTAGTCCCAAGTGCATAACAAGTTGGGTAACGCCATCAAAGTACACTTCCTTGTGCTGCATCAAAACTGCCCATCTGTGTGTTAGGTCCTTCCTCCTCTCGGGGGAAGCAAGGACGAAGATCAGCACTCATCTTTCCTCACGCATATGAGCCCTTCTTTCTACCAAAACCATTCAGAATGTTCCCTGGGTATATATTTTTGATGATTTTACTCATTTCTCATATTACAGGTATGTCTTACTCTTTTTATCAGGGTTTTCTTATTATACTATGACATAATATCTCTTTAGTCACAAACTTTACATTGTAAATGATAAAAACCTTGTGTGCATTGGTGATTTTGCTGAGAACATAGCTTGGACTAGGTTATGGCTAATTGTGACATTCTTTAATTCTATGTAATGCCATATCACTCTTAAACACTGTGACCCACACTGAGAAGGAGGAAGGAGTAGATATTTACTGAATACCTATAGCATTAGTGGACACTGTGCTAGCCATTAGCCACTTCGTGTGTTAAAATGTTTAAAATTTGGGCTGGCCCGGTGGCGCACTGCTACAGTGTGCCACTTGGGAGCGCGGTGGCGCTCCCGCCGAGGGTTTGGATCCCACATGCAGACCGGTTCCGACTCACTGGCTGAGCGAGGTGTGGGCGCAGCACCAAGGGTTGCGATCCCGTTGCCGGTCCCGGTCCGGTACGGGCGCGACACTGAGGGTTGCGATCCATTGCCGGACATGAAAAAAGACAAAATGGAAAAAAATAAATAAATAAATAAAATTTTAAAAAATTAAATGTTTAAAATTTGATATTAATATCTCCACTTTACAAATAAGATAAATGAGACATATTCATAATTCAGAACGGTAAGATATGCTACTCATGGTCACACAGCTAATAAACTGGTAAAACTTTCATTCAAATGAGAACATATCCCCAAAAGTCTATGCCATCTGCTCTTTATTGCTCTTTAAGGGCTACGCCTTCATTAAGCAGGGCTCACTCACGATGACCGCCAATGTGATAGGACATGAATAGAAGAATCCATGTAGCCCTCGAAACTTTAACAAGCCAAAGCCTTATTCTTAGCTACGGGATTTAAGACTTCAAATGCAAATGTCTCTGGAAGAGAAAATTGGGTAATTTACACTGAAACAGGCCACTCCTGTGCAGGCAGGCAGAATCCAGAGACAGGCAGGAGGAGAATAAAGCCACAAAGATAAAAACTGCAGAGCAAGGTGAAAATATGGGAGAAGCCAAGGGGCTTTCACTTCCTTGCTTCCTTTCAATTTTGCTTATATTTTCCTTATTTGTAAATATCAGTCTCAATTTCCTCACCTATGAAGTGGGGATGACATTTCACAGTGTAGCTGTACATGGCTGCTAATTGGGAACAAGTGAATTGTATGAGAACAATTATGGTTTTTGGTCACAGTGGATGAATGTTAATGTCAGGTGGATTTTTCCCCTTGTGTTTCCTTTTAGAAAAAGTAATCCTTGGAGTAGAGGGTCAAAAACTGGTTCGTCCTAAAAGGCTTCCTCTGAAACAGAAGCGGGATGTTGGACATACCCATGGTTATGACATACCGGTACAGGTTTTGATTTAGTAAATATGATGTCTTGCTTTCACAGGCATGTAGAATGCCTCTGGCTCCAACCAGAAGCAAATAGAAGAAAAGAGTCTCCATTTTTCTGAGGACTCAGCTTACAGCATGTGCTTGGGGATAAGCACCCCCTCGATGGCTCAGGAAACAAAAAAGAGCAAAGTTCAGGTTTTAGGAGGTGCCACTTTCAGTTTTCCAGTTTATGTGAGAAGTTTCACCAACAGCTTTCCAGGCTGATTCAAAGCAACCTCAGTTGTTCTGAGCTGGTGCCCATGGAATGTAATCTCCAGAGTTTTGCTTTCTCGGAGATCTGATGTGCAGGTTTATTTGCTAGACAGATTCTGTAGCAAAATTGGACAACTTTCTCACGAACAAAAAGACCTGCTTGGCCTATTCTTCAGAAGGGTGTTTATTCAGGTTTTTAACTTTAAAAATATTTAAAATATTATTTTCAGAAGTAATGAATGTTTATTGTAGAACGTAACGAATGTACCTAAGAGGAAACAAGATTCTAAATTAGGTTATTCTCAATTCCCACTGTAGTAAGACTTTAGGTGAATGTCCTTAGAGATTTATCATTAGGCACCTGCATTTTAAGCTCTAAGTCTTTAATTTGGCTCACGAAGAATACTGACAGGTACATTGCCCCAACAAATCTTTCCCAATGCAATCATTTTTCTTCCCTTTACCATGAGAGCAGCCAGTTTTCCAGGCTCTCACTTCTTAGGTTTCTCAGTCATGTGAAAGATACATTTCAACTTTCCAAATGGTCCCATTGAGACCTCTTTCTCGTGACTTGAGATGATTTTTTAAAAAAGCAACTCTCCATTCCCTCTCATTTGGAAATAATGCCTAATTATTTTTCTCCAATAATCACAAATAATTTTTGCTTTGATCTTCAGCTCTTTTCTCACCTTCTCAAACCTTTGTATTGGTTGAAGTTTGGTGCTCAGTTAAGGGGAGATCACCAGCTTTCTACCACCTACTGTGCAGAAGCTGGTGGGCTATTCTGGCATCTATTATAGTAACACTTAATCAAGACTGATATTAAAAGTCCATCATAGATATATATCCAAGATGAACCTGGATGGGGGCAGAAAATATAGAATATGAGCCTGGAGCATAGTATAGTGCCAAAAACTGCTCAAACACACAAACAAAATAAAAACTCTAAACCCATACTGATGGGGGCATGCCGAAAGAACTCAGGAGCAGAATGAAATAGCTCCCAGTGGCCAAAGCTGGCATAACTTGAACAACGAAATAAATAACATAGTTTTGGACTATAACGCAAAGTATAAATTAGTAGCAATGAGTCCATAGTGATATGGATTGAATGGACTGAATAAATAAAAAAACGAGAGAGAAGGGACAAATATCCCATACAGAAGAATCAAATAATTTATGTAGGTACTTTCCTATTCTGATGATGAAGCAAAGATCCCCACCCCTTAAGGGTGGCCTGTGCATTGTGACTTCATTCCAAAAAGTACAGCGTAGAAGGGGTAAAAAGAGTAACTTTACAGAGGAGGAACCTGACAAATGCCATCTCAGCCAGATTACCAAGGTTAACATCACCAGTGAGAATTCATGTTGGTAGTATGTATTCTGGATATAATGTGATAAAATGGCACTTTCTTTTGTGGTTTTCACCTCAAAATCCATATCTCAGTCTAACCATGAGAAAAACAGAAAAAAAATTGATAGACATCTTACAAAATACCTCATAAGTACTCAAAAATGTCAAGGTCATCAAAAATAAGGAAAACTTGGGAAATATGTCACAGTCTTGAAGAGGCTAAGAAGAAATGACAACTGAATGTAATGTGGTATCTAGGATGGGATTCTGGAAGAATGAAAGGACATTAGGCAAAAACTAAATCTGGACTTTAATTAATAATACATCAATCTTGGTTCATTAGTTGTGTCAAATACACCATTGAATTGTAAGATGTTAACAACAGAGAAATCTGGGTACAAGAACATACAATTTTTCTGTAAATTTAAAATGACCCAATTTAAAAGTAAAACTCTATTTTTAAAAAACCAATATTAGCAGCAAAATTAAAAATAGTATTATGCTTGACAATATTGACAATGATTTCTTAACATTAATTAACATAAAATCCATATTCACATATTCAAAATTTTATTTAAAAAGTCTTGTTTTCTTCCTGTTACATGCACATTCATACATTCACAGACATGCACCTACACATATACCCCATCCTGTGATAAAATGTGGCCCAAGCCTTCTTATTTGATTAAACATCCAGTTTCTTGCCTATCCGCCTGTGAATTGTTTCTTTATTATGAAGATCCAATTTTTTTATTGAACTTGCAATCAAAAAGGTCCCAACTAATGCACAGCTCACATTCAACAAATACAAAGCTCCCTTCTCCCTACCTCTTACCTGCTCCTCTTCACATCTTTTTAGCAGTGGCACCTTTAAACAAACCGGAAACCTGGGCTCATTCTTGATTCTTCTCATTTACTTCCTCCGTTAAACAATCACTAAGGCTTGTAGAGTCTATATAGCATGTAAACATCTTATGAAATTATCTACTGCTCTTTATTCCTCTGTTCAAATCACCCACATTCCATCAACAGCCTTCGAATTGTTTCCCCATCTGTAGTATTGATTTTTGCTGTCCTATTATCTGTAATAGGTAAGCCCTTATAAAACACCATGCTTTCTTCTGCATGTTTCTGCCTAAACCTTTTGCTGCTCTTAGCTCTTAGGAAAAGGTTCACATCCTTAATTTACTAGGCTGTGCATGATTAGCTCCTTCCTATCTATCCATCTTATTCATATTCAACTTGCACTGGATTTTCCAGCAACATTGAATCTCTCTCTGTTCCTCGAGTATGTCAAGCTTCTTCCTACCTCAGGGCCTTTGCATGTGCTCTTGCCTGTCTCTGACTCCTCCTTTTAATATCCCTGGAACAGTCCTTGCATTTCTCCTATTATGAGGTGTATGACTCTCCAACAAACGTGCTTAGCTGTCTGTTTTTTTTTCTTTGTCAAGCTGGGGCTCCATGAGGACAGGCACCTCCATGTTTTGCACCATTGTATTTTCCATATTATCACTGTGCCTGAAATACCAGCTGTCAAATAAACGAATGAACAACAAACTTAAAAGAAATGTGCATACAACCGACAAATATAAGCCTTAAATTATAAAGAATCTTTATGAATGATAAAGAAAATACCACAAAAGAAAATGGTGAAAGGACATGAATTAGAAAGTCATATAAAAACTGTAAATAAATAAATAAACAAGAGAAATATCAATGGAAATGGTCATCAAAGAAAACAACTTGTCACAATAATTTATAATTTCACTGTTTAAAAGAATTTTACTAATGATAATATCTATTATTGGTAAGAAGGCAAGGAAACAGGAACTACTATAGATTGCTGAAGTTCTGAATTTATTCTACCTTTCATTAGGATATTTTGGCAATATTTATCAAAAGCCTTACATTTTTCCACATCATTGACAATGCAACACTAACTACATTGAACACCTGAACAAAATTTCTGATAATAGATGTAATTAAATAAATGAAGTTTCATGCACATTGTGATTTGCAGCCATAAAACAATGCTATAAGAAAAATTATTTGAATAGAAAATAATCATAATTTATTGTAAAGTAAAAATGCAGACTATAAAGCAGTATGTGCAAACTTGTTAAAAAGACAAACAGGATGTGTGTAGAGGGGAGATGACGCATGGACACACAGTAACTGTATATCCCTGGCTGAGGGTAAACTAGGCATTTTACATTTTACATTATTTTATAATTAGGGGGAAAAAGCCCTTTGAAATTCTTTTTTTTCTTTTTTCTTTTTCTTTTTGGCAGCTGGCCAGTAAGAGTATCTGAACCCTTGACTATGGAATTATAACACCAAGTTCTAACCAACTGAGCTAACTGGCCAGTCCCCTTTCGAAAATTTATTTATTAAAAGTGTGTAAAATCCTCATTATAATATTAGCTCTCTTTAAATTCAGCTCTATCAGTATGAGTATTGATCATTTTGCTGGGAAGGATCACTGGGTAGACTGTGGGAAGTAGACAACCTCCCTCTCCTCCCACCATCCCACCCAGCCCCCGCACACACTAAACGAACTCACATGAGGAATTTCGTTTTTTAGGAAGCTTATGAAGAAGAATTGCTGTATGAAATAAGACTAAATAGAAAAATCTTAATACTTCATCTTCTAAGATCAAGGTAAGTTCTATTGTGATTCAATACCTTACGGATTTAATACTCTGTGGAATCCCAGTTTTCATAAAAACTACTGATAAGGTGAATTCCTCGACATTGTCATTTATGAACAATCTGAATTCTTCCTCTTCAAATAAAAGCTCTTCACATATAATCCCATTGCATCTCAGAAGCTTAAAAGCAATGATAGAGACTGTTCTCCAATTCTTAAATTAATCCCTATATTACTCCAGTTCCTGAATTAACCCCAAATTATTCAGGGTACGAGGAGTTCTTTGAGGTTCATACAGTCTCTCTAAGAGGAGGGTTAATACATTACTACTTTGTATTACCGATTTGTGAATCAGTGGAGCAAAAGAAATCTGAAAAACATGGTTTTTTAAAGCAGCTTTATGGTTATTTATAATAGATATCAAATCAAGTTCTATTGGAGAGTAAGCTAAGAACTGGGGGGAGTTTCCTTTATCAAGACATCTCGTGTAGCTAAGTAATTCTAATACCTTTAACTTTCTTCATTAGCCCTCTCCAAAACAACCTGTTGTTGCTGTTGTTTAATTTCCATTGTTTTTCTTTGGGCCACTTCTACATGTTTTAATAGCTCTGTCTCAGAGCCCCAAAAGTTAAAAGCGTGAAGAATCGTGAAATGCTAAGTAGAATGCCAGAAAACTGAGACTGGTCAATTAGCTAAAAACAAACCAACAAGAAACCCCTCGCTTCACTCTGAATATAGAATAAACCTAATACCACAACCATATTGATAATATATTTAGACTGCATATTTGGACATTTCCAGCACAAAGGAAGCTAATATTTATTGAGCAATTTTTATATGTGTTTCTTCAAAGTTATTTCTTAGTTTCTACAATTTCTATATGAATGCAGGTATTGTTTAATTTCTATTTTACTGAGCAAGAATCATAGGTGCACTGCAACTATTAAAACTTGTCCAAGGTCACAATGCTCATAAGCACATGATGCTGCTGATACTCTGACTTAGAAATGCCTGCTTTCAAAATTACACCAGTCTGCCTATGCCTCCAGTAGCCAATCTTTTTATATTAGCCATCGTTTGATTCCGATAATTGGCCCGGAGTGATAATGTTAGAGAATTGTGCACATGCAAAGCAGTTTAACATGATAGGCAACACTGCCCCCTTCTCTCAGCGCCACCAAGTAAATAAATTTAGTGCTGTTAACAAAAGAGGACCACAAAATCTGCTAAAGAGGAAAAGGGAGACTTTATTGTCTGGGAAAGATATAATCGGTAGACTGGGGAAACACAACCTCTGGCAAGATCAAATGTATGCACTCCACCAAGAGAGGGAGAAGACTGGTGTCTGTACCTCCCTGGATCAGGTTTACATGCATGTTCAGTGATCTTGGAGAAATGCTATGAATATGTATGGAGACGGCTATATGTGTGCACAGCGAGTGAACGTGTACGTAAGCGTAAGGGAAAATGTGTGCTACTGCACAGGCTCCACAGGCTGGCCAGGGCTGGCTCTGATGTGGCCCCTCTAATGTGGAGGTTATCCATGGAGTCTGTCTAATTGGACTCACTGTGGGCCCTCAGGAAGGAGAAGGGAAGCACAGGTGTCCTGCAAAGGCAGGTGAGGAGGTTTTCCAGCCATAGCAGATTAGGCTGCTTTTTCTTATTACAGGAAAGAAAAACTTCATAACAGTTAGTAATATACACACTTGCAAGCTGGGAGCTACAGGTCTGCCCTTTCCCTCCTGCCCAGCCCCTTGGTTCTGTTTACAATTTGAGTGTCTCATTTAACCACAATGAGTCCATTTTGTCTATTTTGTCTGTCCTTTGAGGTACATTTTAACACCGCATACCCAGAGCCTGCCAAATTCGTGATTACGTTAGCTTCCTAAAATGAGTTGAGAAGTGTTTTCTCCTCTTCTGTTCTCTAAAAGATGTTATTGCTTTTAAAAATGAATTCACAAATTCACAAATGAAACTACCTGTATTTTGAGGATTTTCTGGTGTGTGTGTTTGGGAAGGAGGTTTTATGATAACAAATTCAACTTCATTAATAGAAGGTTATTCAGATTTTCTATTTCATTTTATGTCAGTTTCAAGTTATAATTTTCAAGGAAAATGTCTATTTCATCTAAGTTGCCACATTTTTGGCATAAAGTGTTTCATAATACTGTTTTTAAACTTCTTTATTTAATTTTTTTAAAAGCATAGCTTTAGGAAGCAGAAGTTCCTAGATATTGGTCATTCATTTATTTAGTTTCAATTTCCAATGTTTGTAAGATAATATCTACCTTGCAGTGTTTTGGGGTTTTTTTAATTGATTCATTTATTTTTATTGAAAGAAAATCGATTATACATATTTTGAGGATACAGAATTAATTTTCAGTACTCTGTACAATATGTAATGATCAAATCAGGATAATCAGCATATCTATCATCACAAAATGTAACCATTCTTTGTGTCCATTAACTAATTTCTCCCTAATGTCCCTTCTCTTCCTCCTTTCCCACCTGTAGTAACCACAGTTCTGCTTCTTCTGAAAGTTCAGTGTATTCTAGTATCTTTAGTGATTACCCCCTTCAATTTCCAATATTGGTAATTTGAGTTTTCCCTCTTTTTTCTTGACCAGTCTAAAAGGATTTATCAATTTGCCAATCTTTTCAAATAACTAAAATTTAGTCTCAGTAACTATTGCTAATTTATTTATTTCACTGGTCCCTTCTGTTATTTTTATTATTTTCTTTATTCTACTTTAGAGCTTTCTTTTTTCTTCTTATAGAAATGTTTAATGTCTTTTATAAATTTTTTAAGTAATTAAATCACAACATTGTCCTCAAGTATTAATTTATATACATTTCAAAAATCTCAATATGTTGCATTTTATTAATATTTATTTCAAAATATTTTTTCATTTCCTTTGGAATTTCTTCTTTGACTCATGGATTATTTTAGAGTGTGTTATTAATTTCCAACATTTGTGTTTTTTTAACGTATCTTTGTGTCAATCATTTTTTGTATTTTGAAGTTTGTTACCTGATATTAATACAGCTCATCCAGCCTTCTTATGTTTACTATTTGCATAATGTACTATTTTTCATTAATTCTCTTTTAATATATCAGTGTCTTTACATTTAAAATGTCTCTTGTAAAATGGCAATTAGTTGGGTCCTAATTTTTAATAAATTTGGATAAACTCTGATTTTTAATTGGAATATTTAGTCTATTAACATTAAATGTTATGAGTGATATGGCTGGATGTGATATTTCATTTCTGTTTGTTTCTTCTGTTATTTATTCTGCTGGTTTCTTTCCTGCCTTTTAATCTTTTAATATTTGGATTCGTTATTATTTATTCTTTTTTTTTTTTTAACCTACTGGCTTTTTATAAATCTATTGGCTTTTTAGCAGTAACTGTCTGCATTAGTTTTAACTTCTGTTTTAGAGTTTACAATATATATTTACAATTAATTATTAACAGATATCATTTACATTTAATATAATATCATTTTATGTGAAATGTAAAAATGTTGCTATCATATAAGTCCCTTTACAGTAACAACTTCTTTATGCTAAGTTGTCATATATACACACAACTATATACATCATTAACTCCATGGTGCATAGTTATAATTCTGGCACTAAACATTCATATGCATGTTAAAGAAATTAAGGGAATATATGATATTTTAGTTTATTCAGTTATTTACTATTTTTTATTTTACCATTCTTTGTTAGAGGTTCAGTTTTTCATCTGCTGTCATTCCCTTCAGCCTGAAGATCCTCCTTTACTAACTGTTGTAGTACAGATCTGCTGACAAAATTTAACTTCGCTTTTTTCTGCTTAAAAAGATCTTTATTTTGCCTTCACTACTGAAGGCTATTTTTGCTGGATATAAATTTCAGGGTTGACAGATTTTCCATCTCTTTTAGCATAAGAGGATGATTGATGCTGATCTCCTCTCTTCTGGCCTACGTAGATGCTAATGAGATGTTCGCTATCACTTGAATTTCTGTTCCCCAATACATGTTACATTGTTTTTCTTCTGCTGCTTTCAAGATTATGTCTTTGTATTTGATACTCTGTAATCTCACACTGATGTGCAAAACTGTAATTTTCTTCTTATATATCCTGTTGGATGTTTGCCAAATTTCTTGAAGTTGTAATTTATGTCTTTCCAAATTGGTAAATTTTCAACTATTACTCTTCCATTTTTTCTCTGCCACAGCTTTCTTCACTTTCTAGAACTCCAATTATAGCATGTTAGTCTTTCTGGTATAATCTACATGTCTCTGAGGTTCTGCTCTACTTGTTTTTTCTTTCTCTTCTTCAAGTTGGGTAATTTCTATTAATATTTCATTGGGTTTATTAACTCTTTTCTTTATCAATTTTATTCTTATTTTAACCCCATCAATTGAACTTTTTATTTAGGATATTTTCAATTATAAATTTTCATTTTTTAAAAATTGTAATTTCCATTTATTTTTTGAGGTTTCATATCTTCACACATTTCAAGTTTTTGTGTGTGTGTGTGTGTGTGTGTTTTACCTCATTGAGCATAGTCAAAATACCTGCTTTAAAATCCAGGTATATTATTTCAACTTCTGGCTTAACTGCGGTAGGTCTCTACTCATTATCTTTTCTCTCGACAATATTTCAAATTTTCATCTTTCTTCACACATGGTATAATTTGGATTATGAACAATTTGAGTGCTATGTGGAAGAGACTCTGGGTTTTGTTATGTTCGGCTGAAGAGTTCCAATACTTTATTTTATTGGGGGATTGACTTTGTTGGACTCAAACTATAAACTCTTTTAGATGGTGGCTCAAATTTTAATTCAGTTATTTTATTCTTAGCAGGGCTACTTTTAGTCTGTCCTTCATATAATTCTGAGTGTGAGCCTAGGTTTGTTTCCAGAAATGAGGATTTTCTCATCTCTGTCTTTTTTATTTTCATGATTACCATATGTATTCCTCCAACTGTGATTTCCCCACTCTGTTCTGTGGGTTTTTGTATCAGAAAGACTGTGATTTCCTAGTAGAGCTTTAGCCATTTTCTACATGGCAGATGTTAGTCTGATTTCAAGCTAAAAGCTGTACACATGGAAAATTCACCTTTTGCTGTGCCTTCTTATAAAGCTGCCATGTGTTGGCAGCTTTCCAGAGTCTGTCTCCTCTCACTCAGTACCCCAATCCTTTACATACTTGTTTTTTTTATGTTGTGCAGAATTAAATTATTATATATGGAATGTTGTGTCTGATAGTATCATATTCAGTCACAGCAAGAGTGAAATTCTGTATTTAGTTCATTTTGAACATTAGTTCAGCATTTATTTATTGAATACTGTTAATATTTCAAACACTGTTTTAGGAACCAGAGAGACACAAAAAGAGGAAGAAAAAGTCCCTCCTTTTCTAAGGTAGTTCACAGGTAATCTTGAAGATTAACATGATAATACATTAGGGGTGAGCAAATGATGGTTGGTGGGCCAAATAGGGCATATTTTTTATTTGGGTATGCCCCTCAACCTAATAAAGATTTTTAAATTTTAGAATATTTGCAGTGAAAACAAACAATAAAAAAAAAAGAATGTGTAACAGAGACCATAAGTGTCCTGCATAGCCTGAAGTATTTATGTATATATGTAGGCTGAAGGCTGGAAGAAAGAGAGAAAAAGGTCAGCATGAATAAGAATAATTAACTATTCTTCTTGTATGAAACCGAAAGCAGCATAAATAAGAAAAATTAACTATGTGCCATTGAACAGAAAGTTGACATTCTGAGGGGAAATGACTCACTCCTTATAGACAGAGTTTATCCTGTTGATTGTGCAGCCGGGCTTCTTTTTCACTTTCGTCAGCCTATCATTTGTAGAAGACGGTCTTGAGCTTATCATTATTAAACTTTGGAAATACACAAAGCTCAGCTCTTGCACATCGACGCCTTCACTTTCAAGACTAGTGTTTCTAACATGAGCTTCAAAAATCTATTTTTCAAGGTAAAATAAAAGTCAATAATTTCCTTTCTTGTTCCTTAGTTCTTTTGTGGAATTCATCTCCTGAGGCATTGAAGATACACAGCACTAGCTGCTTTCGGTGTCATACAAGCAGAAGAATTATTGATAACTCAGGAAATATCTTTTTACTTGTGCAGAGAAAAGACTGTGAAGCATTACATGAAATTATCAGCAGTGGTGGTTCTCCCATTGGTGGAATTCTGAAGAATTTCCTCTGTACTTTTCTGTGTTTTCTAAATTTATTATAACTAATACATGTTGTTTTATCTAAATATATAGCTGTTGGGTTACTATATATTAAGATATATGTATCACGTATATCACATACTTTTTTGCATTAATTTTGGCTCTGTGATAGATTTTTAATTAGATAACATTTTCTCTCAGTTTTTTTTTAAATGTTGTCTTGCTAAAATTGTCAGAATCTTTTTCTGGCTTTTCTATGGTCTTTACCATGAAATGTAGGTTAAAAGGCTTTCATATGAGTGGGCTTGATTTTGTTTTTTCTATTTTCAGCAGAAACCTCACTGAAGTTTGAAAGTAGCTTGGAGGTTTCTTCATCCCATGATTGGTTTTATCTTTTAGGTTTTAGAATGAATAAGTCTCAATAACTCCCTGACCTCTTTTTCAGGGAGTTCCTAGCATCGAATTACAGTGAAACATACTACACCACAGCAGGCGAAGCCATCACCAGGCACCCTCAGATCATGGTATTGTGTAGAAACTTCCTATGTCTCTTCTCTGATACTACTCATTTCTGATGTAATTTTGAAACTCGATTCTAGCTTTACAAGCTGCTCAAGATAATGCTACATCAGAAATGAATCCCGAACTGACTACTCTCACTGAATGATTCTGGAATGGAAAATATGACCCTCTAAACCCTGAAGGAGGCTGATGACTGCCTGTCAAGCAAATCAGTGACTGCTAATATATCTTTCTTTACTAAACTGTCTTCTATATTCCCAATAGGGTGTTAAGTCTGAGAGAAAGGTAAAGCAGGACACCAAAGAAGCATAAGGTATTCCCTGATGAGAATGCAATCAAACTAAATGGATAAAATCTGAAGATACCAAACAACTTTAAAATCTCGGTCAAATCTGACCCTGTGTGGTTCACATCCACTTGCCCAGTCTTTCTGATGCACCAACATTAAGGGCTCTTCTTTATTCTCCAAATAAATCTTTGGTCATTAATTATTAATATTATTCCAGTGGATACAAATTCTATTTTTATACCTTCATCCCCCTTTCCAGAAAATGCCCTCTGCAGACTTCTAACCCAGAACAACATTATTCTCTCTTACCAAAAGTATACTTTTAAAAACTTATTTCCTCTATTTAAAGCAACTGTCAACTTCTAGAAGATCTAAGTAATCATGCAGTTTTTCAAAATAGGATAGGAGAAAAACGTGGGAACATTCTTTTATGCAGGAAGTGGTTTTTGAACTGTGAGGGTGTGAGATCCCTGGAGACCCATGGAAAGTGTCATCCATAGACAGGAGTTGAACAGATGGAAGTGATGGGAAGAATAATGACCGGATGGCATCACCACGGGCAAAGCATCAAGTAGAGAGTAGTAAAGGTGCCAACTAATTGAAGCAGAGAGGCAGGAGGGAAAAGCATGAAGGGAACGGGTTGGAGAGCGAGACCTAATTCTGGTGATCATCAAGAACTTGGCTTGAATTCATAGGCAACTGGGAAGCACAATATTAGCATGGGACAGTTAGTTGGGTAAAAAATTTCAGAATGAATTAAAGGAGTAAAAAGGAAAAAGGTCACATTTCTGAAACTGGTGTCATCTAATAATAGACTTAAATTTGGGTGGGAAGGAGGAATGCATACATTGCTTTACACAAAGTAATTGTGCAATTAAAATAAAAGGTCTGTAAAGCAGGCTCAAATATTCCTAATGAATGAATACACAAACCAACATAACTGTAACTTGTCAGGATAAAATACAGTCAGCCTTCCATGTCCATGGGTTCCACATCAGTGGATTTAACCAATTGCAGATCAAAAATATTTGGAAAAAAAATAACATCTGTACTGAACATGCACAGACGTATTATACTGTATTGTAAACAATACATAACATTTACATTGTATTAGGTATTCCAAGTAATCTGGAGATGATTTAAAGTATACAGGAGGATGTGTGTAGTTGCAAATACTACACCATTTCATATCAGGAGCTTGAGCATCCATGCATTTTGGTATCTGCAGGACATCCTGGAACCAATCTTCCATGAATACTGAGGTTCGACTGTCCTGATGTATTCCGACCAGAAAAACATTTAGATTTTAATATTTATATAATATCAGCATTTATAGTTATATTTATAGACTGTTTTTTATTTTAGGATCACTGCTTTTACCAAGGATCCATTATACATGAATTTGATTCTGCTGCCAGTATCAGCACATGTAACGGTCTGAGGTAATGAATACAGTGTATATTTCTATTTCCTTCATGAGTCTTTGTATGCATTTTCAAAGACATTCACTTCTCTTATTGCTTCTCTGATAAACAGAAAAATTAGTGGGAAAAGAACTACTGTGTATTTTCAGCAGGGAGTATCCTCTGTGGGCTATGATTTATGTTCATGTTCAACAAAAAGATGTCTAATGAGCAAGGCAGCTTTTGCAGTATATGATCAAGGGATTCAGAGTTGGAAGATGACTGGAAATCATCTAGCCTGTCCTCTTGTGTATAGATCAGGATATTGAAATCAGAGACTTGCTCCTGAACATTCTGTTTGCCAGTGGTAGAACCGAGTCCAAAATCCAGGTCTCTTGACTGCTATGTGAATTCCCAGTACACCACAATGCTTTGCTAATTTAGCTTTTTACTAAATCAGGCTGTGTTTCCAATCTGTAGAAAGTAAAAAGCCAGAGGTGAAGCCTATAGTTCTCTACAGATCTTGGGCTCAAGGTGGGAGGAGGACAATGTGAGGAGGTAAAGGGTAGAAGAACAAGGAAATTCTGTGTTCAATTATGAGGACTTTACTTGAGTAATTCCCAGTATTTTCAAGAATTAGAACCCATGTAATGACAAAATTACCACATAGTAGTATTTGTGCTTTCACATACTTACTCTGCCATTAATGCATGATCAACATAGAAATTCACAATATCTTTGCAAAAACTCCGAGACTTGTCAACAGTCCACAACCACAGGTGGGAGATGCTGCTCTACCAATATTCAACGCAGAGATCAGACTGTCAAACTTCTTCTGAAAATCCAGATAAGTTGACTCTTAGAAAAATGTATTAATTTGGCCGGCCCGGTGGCGCACTGCTACAGTGCGCCGCTTGGGAAGCGCGGCGGCGCTCCCGCCGAGGGTTCGGATCCCACATACAGACCGGCCGCTCACTGGCTGAGCGAGGTGCGGGAGCAACGCCGAGGGTTGCGATCCATTGCCGGTCACGAAAAAAAAAAGACAAAAAGGAAAAAGGAAAAAAAAAAAAAAGAAAAATGTATTAATTCAATCAGAAGCCACATGTCATTTCATCCTTTGCCACTCAAAGCACCTGAAAACATGTTCATGTGGCGCTGGCTTTGTAACTTCCCTTTCTTGAAAAGGCAATGTCAGTAAGGTGGAACAGAGTAATTATAGATCTTGAATGCACGTTGTGTACCCACTTTTTACAGGGGATTCTTCAGAGTAAATGACCAAAGGTACCTCATTGAACCAATGAAATACTCAGATGAGGGAGAACATTTGGTGTTCAAATATAACCCACGGGTCCCATATGCTGCCAATTATTCTTGTGCAGAGCACAATTTTACAAGGAAGACTGTTCCAAGGGATACTAAACTGAAGGAAGACTCCAAAATTGAAGTGAGTACTCAATTATTAAACCATCTTTACTCCAGGTAAATCATTTCCTTATGATCTTGAGGGAGAGACTAATAAGTCCAGCTGGTGAAATCTATGTGCTTCTCTGAATCTAACACTTCATTGTCAGAAGTCTGATATTCAAACTACTGTTTTTGTTGTCTATATAGAAAGTGTCCAGTCCCTACAGTAAATCTCAGTTTGTTTCATCAATTTTAAGAAAGAGGCATGTCTACAACCCTAAATATAGATTGACAGCAATAGGGGCTATAAGTGGTTGGAAAGAATGAAATGTACAATGTCCTGAAACCTATCCTCGATATTGTTTTTTCTTGCATTTCCTGCCATTTGTGGGGTGGGGTGTGGGTGTCGGGGGTTGATGACAAGCCATATTCTCTCCCTTTCATCAGGCCAAATATTTTAATGGTGAAGGACAATTAAGGATATCAACAGATTTAATTTCTGGTGGGTTAATTTCATTGAGGCTTAATCCCCACAGAATCTTCTGTGTTTTAGGCTTTTCTAGACAGCTAGTTCATATCCCCTTAAACTCCCAGTAGATGCTAGCCTGTAAGCTGCTATATGATTGTTTATCTTCTTACATGTTAATGGTCCAGACAGTATCTGAAACACACTAGATACTTAACAGATGTTTCTTGACTGAGTAATTCAACAAATAAATGATTACTTAGTCCACAAAGGAATAGACGAGTTAGATCTTTGAAATGTGTGTCTCTGGTTTGCTTTCAGAGAATACGCATGTCCCTCAGTGCATGTACACTGAAAACTGAAAACTTAGAATAATTTCCTGGTATTGATGTTTTATGGAAATAAAAGACCTGTAATTAGCAACATTTATACATGTTTCCTTGGAATTGAGACTACTGCAAATTAGGACATTGGCGGGCAGGGAGAGGAGAAGAAAAATGGTCAGTCCTGTTAACCAGTCAGTTCTGTTTTAGCTCTCAGCTACAGATGTGTGGTTTTTACATGAGCTTAGTTATGAAGCATTAACTTTGTAGATGAAAAAACAAAAAACCCTACATATTAAAAACTATTCACGAGTACTTATAATACTTATTTGACCTGAAAGACTAAACAAAGGAAGAAAAGATAGTCAAATACGGAATGTTGCTTCAGGATAATTAAAATATAATGTATAGGGCCACATGTTTTAATAATAGAGAGAGTCTTATTTAGGTAAATTCATAAAATTATTAGATATACTCATGCACCTCACCTTCTGGTATTATTTTAATCTGTTTCTTATAACAAAATACACAGAACTGGGTAATTTGTAAGAAAATGAATCTTATTGCTTACTGTCTAAGAGGGTGGGAAGTCAAAAGCCCAGGGAACACATCTGGTGAGGGTTTTCTTTGGTGGTGTCTTTACAACAATGCAGGGGTCTCGCATGGCAGAAAATGGCAGAGCAGAGAGAGAGATATTTCCTTGTGCACTCTCCTTTTAAAGCCCTCAGAACCACTCCCCTGGCCACCATTTTTAATCCATTCACTGAGGCATGGTTTTGCAATCTAATCACCTCTTCAAGGCCCCACCTTTCAATTACCATAATAGGATTTCCCACCCTCTTAAAACTGTCACAGTGGGGATTAAGCCTCAATGAAGTTGCAGGGGGAGGGCATCCACTCTGTAGGAGGTATAAATAACATTTGTTACCTTGAAAATGTTAGACTTGTTTTCAACTTAAAATGTTAAGATGCAAAATGTTAACCATACTTCGTTGAATTTTTCATAAATTTCCAGAGCATCCATCATGAAAAGTATGTGGAACTGTTCATTGTTGCTGATGATAATGTGGTAAGTTTTCAAGTGAACATTTTGGTCTTCGCTCATCCTTATAAATCTATAGTTGTGATTCTAACCTACAGAAAAAAGTATTCTACTCAGAGTTCCATTCTGGGCTCAAAGTTCTGTTTTTAACTCCCCAGAACAGATGTGTATAAGAGATTACTGGGTCCTTTGGCAATATAGTAGATTAATACAAAATAGAACCCCTTCCTGAATACAAATGAATAGAAATGCTGAACAACATAAAAAAAATTGAAAACATGCTAACAATCTATAGTTGAGCTCAAAAGAAAATACCCAAAATCCCCAAGTGCGAGAAATGAAGAAATAAATCTTTGTTGCAACAGCAAATAGAATTCAAAGTCTTGGTGATGTACAGTATATGGAATACAGATATAATGAGTTGAGGGATTAAACTTATTTAGGAGCAAAAGGCTGAAATTTGGAAAATGAGTACTGTGGATAATTCCTAGAGCCATAAGGGGCTGCCCTATCCCTGAAAAGAAAACTAGACAAGGTCCACTGAAACTACAAGAATAAAGGAAATTTTCTGTCTGCCTGTAACCATGGGCAGGGCAAATGTTATGCACAGGAAAGCGAAAATCATAAGCCTATGTCATGCACAGATATGGGGAATGGTATTATCTTTTCCTTCAGATGAAAAAATAAGTGAACTAAGAGTCTTTACATGACAAGGTTAGAAAATGAAACACAGTATAAGAAGAAAGAAGAAAGTAATTGTAGCAATAAGCAATATTAATAAAAATGAAACAAGCAAAAAAAAAAGAAACAGTCAAGTAGATCAACAGAGCCAAATACCAGATCCTTTAAAAGATTAAAGAAATAGACAAACTTCCTACAATATTTACTAAGGAAAAATAGAAGTAGAAGTAAAATTAGAAAGCAAAATATAACTGTAAACACAATAGAGGTTACACATTACTAAAAATATATGAAAAAATATTGTATCAATAAATTTACAAGCAGAAGTATGTATTAAAATGTTACCAAGCTGACCCAAGAAAAAATAGAAACCTCCAAAAAGATTAACAACAAATTTAAACACTTAAATAAGTAGTTCACAATCCATCAACAAATAAAGATACAAGGCTTAGATTAGTTTAAAAACAGATTTTACCAAAGTTTGTTATAATAGATAACAAACTATCTTATACGTACTGTTATGAAGAATAGGAAAAGAGGGGAAAGTCCTCACACATTTTATAATGACATTATAACCTTTGTATTAGTTATCTACTGCTGTGTAACAAACTGCTCAAAACCTGGTGGGGGTCAGTCATTCAGCAGCTATAATCTGATGGCTCCACTGGTATGCTAGCAGATCTAGATGAGCTTACTCACTGGTCTTGATTATGGTGCTGGGTTTCAGCTGACTGTGTGTCTCCAGAATACTAGCCTGTGCTTCCTCATATCCTAGGTGGGTGTCAAAATTAAGAGAGAGGCCAGGCTCTAATGTGCAAGAGCTTTTCAAGCTTCTGCTTGTACTACATTTATGAATGTTTCATTAGCCAAAGTCTTATGACCAACCCTATAATCAATGTTGAAGAGAACTTACACATGGGTATGGATACCTGGAGTTGTGATTTCTTAAGAGTCATCATTGCAACAATCAATGACAAAATTAATATGAGATCCAGACAATGGTATGTTATGAGAAAGTAAAATTATAAGTTAATTTCACTCATAAGCACAACCGAAAATGCCCTAAAAATATTTGCAAACCCAATCTACTAGATATCCAAAAATGTTTGCATGACAATGAAGGTTTACTTCAGTAATACAAATATTGTTTTGCTTTAATGTTAATAGATTTTTAAAAACCATGTGATCATATCGAACATCTCAAATGTATATATGTGTGTGATTTAACACTCATTCGTGATAAAATTCTTAGGAAATAAGACGTGGAAGAAAATAAGGAATATTTACCAAAATTCTATTCTGTATAAACATTAAACTTAATAATAAAATGTTGGAAGTTTTCCCTCCAAAACTGAGAATAAGATACATTTGTTCATTGTCAACAAATTTTTTTTAAGCAATTTTAATGAAATTCCTAGCCTATGTAATAGGAACAAATGAAGTAAGATCTATGGAAAGAAAGATAATTGGAAAGAAAGACACAACAATTTTGCACATAAAAAAAAACAGGAGCAACTACAATTAACTTATCAAAAATTTTTTTCAAAGAAATTAGTATGTTGTAGGCACTAGATCAACAGATAGGCTTAGTATGTTGGTAAGAACACATTAACTTTTATAAAGAATGATACAAGAAGCTTCTCTCTTAATAATATATTTATTCACAAAGACTCAGAACAGTTTATTAAATTTAATATTTTACCCCAGATACCAGGAGGAGATTTGCTTGGTGTGGTTTTAAGTGTATTAAACAGGGCTTTACATGCACATTTCTTGCACATGTTGCTTTATTTTATGTATTAGCCAAGTAAAAAGGGCAGCAGAGCAAGCAAAGGGTAGAAAGTTGGGCACTCCAGTCAGATAGAAGAGGAAAAACAAAGGCAACTTTTGGAAAACATGATGAGAGTTTACATACCTTAAAGGTAGTCTGAGGGGTTTAAGAAGGGAAGTAAAGTGAGTATATCGGATGGATGGTATGCCCAGAGCTAGCAAGCTGACAGAAGAGCAGTACACAGATGCCCAAATCCTGGGGAACGCCAACCATTAATAAAGGTTTGGTAGTAAGAACGCAAAACTCATATCTCCTACCCGACCCCGCTCTCTTCTGGTTGGACATCACTGATTGATAAAGTGTGTTAAACCTATGATCCTAAGATGGCCTCAGAATCTTTCTCAACAGCCTATTTTAGGCAATCCTTACCAATTGATCAACAGGAATCCTGGTGTGAAACATATTCGCCATCCGAAATTAAGGGGGACAGTGGGAAAAGAGGAACCCACAATAAAACACTAGGCATGTGTGCAGTAATAGAAACCAAGATGATAAGAAATTTCTAGGAAAAGAAAATGGTCAATATTAAATGTGGACAAGATGACCAGAAAGACGAGAAAAAAGTGTTCAGTGCATTTGATAATTAAGAGGACATTTGTGGGCTACCATGAAAAGTTTCAATGGAATAGTGGCAGTTAAAATCAGAGCGTAGTCAGTTTAGCGGGTAGGAGATGAAAATTGGAGAGATTCTAATGCTATATTTTGGAGATATTTAGATATTTAAGATAATGGGGGGGGCACTGGAATATTAACTAGAGGATACTTGCAGCACAGAGATAGCCACAGTTTCCTGTCCTTCAGCACATCTCTGGTTCCAGGGTGTTTTTGATTGATTATACGAGAAATCTTCAAAAAGTTCATTAAAAGATTTGAATTATCTTTTAATTCTATTTTTCCATGAATTTTTTGAAGTACCCTCATATGTCCCTTAGTTTGTGACCACCATGGGCACTGGGGTCCTGATAGGGTTGCTAATTGTTTGCAACATAATGGTTGTTGTGGAACTTTCATTAGTGCTTCATCACTGTGATAAAAATTGTCTCTAAAGAACACAAATCAGTTGCTTTAATAAATCAATGTATTTAATATAATGTAATGTGAAAAGGGAACAAAGTTAGAAAGAAAAAACTTAATGTAATGCTAAGCCAAAGCATGTCTTTATAAACTGCTGTATCTAGTTATTTTACATCAAAAAACATATTTCTGCATAAGTTGCCCAGTTTTTAGCTGATCGGAAGGAGACCTCTTTCTTTACTGTGCCAATGATTTTTTTTTTCTTTTTAATATCTCATAACAAATGAAGTACTTGGTTGAGCTTTTGTTTGATTCCTATTATTAATGAATGTTGATATAATGTTTATATTTCCAGTATCGCAGGAATAGTCATCCTTACAGTAAACTAAGGAATCGAATTTGGGGAATGGTCAATTTTGTCAACATGGTAAGGTTTGATACAGTTTGAATCAAGCTGAAAACACAAATGCAAAGAACCTTTAGATCTCTGCCGGAGTAACCTTGATACTGAGGCAATCCAAGCCACAAAATTTAACCAAGGAGACTAATTAACAAAAGCCCTTTGAAAAAATTATAGTAACAAGCTATAGAGCTGAGATTTTGGTTTTCCAAGTAAATGACATTTAGTACTTAAATAAGTTTTAAATATTGCTCTCTAATCACAAAATTTATAAAAGAGTGTACAAAGAATTTTAAAACGAATCACGTATAACCCAAATCTCATTACTTTAAATCACTGTTCCACAACCTTGTATTCTTTCAAGCTGTAATTTACTGTCCATGGTTTGGCACAGAAATCAGAATCACTATTTCAGTAAAATGTGTTAAATTGATTATTTGTCTGAATTAAAATAAACAATAACCCTTCAAAAAAATGTGAATTGTACACATCTTTCTTTCCTGAGTCCTGTTATTCAGATAAAGAGGCCCCATAGGAAGATGCTGTAAAAAAAATCACCCCTTTAGGTCAGTGGTTGCTCATTCACCAGGTGAAGGACATTTGATTTCTTTGTAGTTTTTGGCTGTTATGAATATGACTGCTTTAAACATTTGCATACGGTTATATGTGCGCACATAAATTTTCACTTATTTTGCTAAATAACTAAAAAGTGGAATTCTGGGTCATACAGAAAGTGTATGCTTCTTTAGCTGTTTCCCGCAAATTTTAACATATTTTATTTTTAATATTCAATCAATTAAAAAATATTTCTAATGTCCTTTGTGGCCCTCTCTTTCATTCAGGAGTTATAGATGTGTGTTATTTAACTTTTAAATATTGTGCATATTTTATATATCCTTATGTTATTGATTTCTAATTTTCATTTTATTAGAATTAAAGACCTTTGTTTGATTTCAATTCTTTTAAATTTGTTGAGTTTTGTTTTATGGCCCAGAATCATCTGTTCTAGCATGCTGAATGTTCATGTGTACTTGAAAACGAAAGTGAGTATTTCATGATTGCTGGTTAGAGTTTTCTATAAATATTAATTACGTCAGGTTGGTTGATAGCAGTTTTCAGATTTTCTGTATCCTTACTGATTTTCTATTTGTTATAACAATTATTGAGATAAAAGTGTTGAATTCTCCAACTGCAATGGTAGACTTCTCTGTCTCTCCTTTCAGTTCTATCAGCTTTTGCTTTGTGTATTTTGAAGCTGTTGTTAAATGCAAATGCATTTAGGATCAATATGTCTTCTTGATGAATTGATTCTTTTATCATTACTTAATGCCCTTTTTACCCCTGTAAATATTTTTTGTTCTTAAGCGTATCTAGTCATTCCAGCTTTCATTTCATTTGTGTTTGCATGATGTATCTTTTGTTATTCTCTTACTTTTAATTTATTTATATCTTTACATTTAAAGTGAGTTTCATGTAGATAGCATAGTTTTTTCTTTACTACATCTCATGAATTAATTGGTGTGTTTAGACAACTTGTATTTAATATAATTATTGTTATGGTTGGATTAAAATCTATCATTTTGCTGGTCATTTCTAATTTTTCCACATTCTTTGTTTCTTTTATCCCTAGTTCTGCTGCTTTTAGATTGAGTATTTTTTGTAATTCCATTTTATCTCCACCACTTGCTCATTAAAAATAGTTTTATTTTTAATTTTTATTTTTTAACTTTTATTTTATTTTAGTTTTTTCTTTATATTTATAGCAGTTTTAGATTTACAGAAAAATTGATCAGAAAATACAGTCACGCACAGAGCCCCCCACACACATATACACAGTTTCTCCTATTTTTTTGAATAAATACTTTAAGTGTTTAACCATGGGTTTACAATATAAGTTTAATAACATACAGTCTAACTTCAAAAAGTATACACTACACATGTGGAAGTACTTTATAACAGTATACTCCAATTCATCTGATCCACCTTTGGTACTAATGTGTTTATCTATTTTTCAAATAGACTTTATTGTTTACAACAGTTCTTGACTTAAACAAAATTTAATAAGACAGTATAGAGTTCTCCCATCTATCCCAAACCCCCTTTCTCCCATTATTAACATTCTAACTTTGTTTGGTACATTTATAACAATTAATAAACCAATATTGATACATTATTATTAACTAAACAAAATGTGGTATATAGACACAATGGAATATTACTCAGTCATTAAAGAAAAAAAAAGAATGAAATTCTGCCATTCGCAGCAGCATGGATGAGCCTGCAGAAAATTATATTAAGTGACATAAGCCAGGCACAGAAAGAGAAATACCGCATGTCCTCACTCTTAAGTGGAAGCCAAAGGCATCCTTTATCTCTGCTACTATATATTTTTTTCTATCATTTCTTTTTACTCTCTCTTATAGTTTCCACCTCTCTGTTGAAATTCTCTATCTTTTCAAGCATGTTTTTCACAATATTAGCTTTTTATTGTTGCATAACAAATTACCTCAAACCTAGACTCTTAAAACAATACCCATTTATGAAGTCACTTTGTTTTTTTTTGTTTGTTTGTTTGTTTGTTTTTAGGCAGAAGTTTAGGTACAGCATAGCTGAGTTCTCTACTGAGGATCTCACAATGCTTAAATCAGAGGAGAGTCTCAGCTTATGTATTTTGCTGACAGAATTCAGTTTATGCAGTAGAACTGAAGTCCCCCAACTCTTACTGGCTGTCAGTTGGGGCCCTCTTTGTTTCTAGAGGCTCCAGCAATTCCTTGCCACACAATGTTCGCATGGACCCTCTTATAACAAAGCAGCTTACTTCATTAGTTCAGCAGGAGAAACTCTGATACTTCAAATTACTGGTCTTTTATAAAGGATTAAATAGGCCTACCCACAGTAAACTTCTTTTTGTTTAACTCAAAATCCACTGATTTGGGGGATCCTAATTACGTCTGCAAAATCTCTTTACCTTTGTCACATAGCATAACCTAATTATAGTAGTGAAATCTACCGCATTCACAGTCCACATTGACGGGGAGGGAATTACACAGAGTGCGTCAGGGGACAAGAATTCTCGTGGGTTATCTCAAAATTCTGCAAACTACATGCACCTTTTCCACTACAGCCTTTAACATATTACTAATAATTAATTCAAATTTCGTATCAGATAAATTCAATACGTGGGCCATCTGTGAGTCTAGTTTTCTCAACTCTTTTCTCTTAAACAGTGGGTTATTTTTCCACCCTCTTTTCGGGTATCTTTTAATGTTTTATTGGATAGTGGATGTAGGAAATAGTACTTATGTCTGCAAATAATACACTTCTGCTTTTGCTAGGCCATTAATGTGGAATTAAACAAGTTGTGTCAGAAATTGAGCTGGTCTGGGGCTTTGTGGTTGCTATAGTTCCCCACAGCACTCCACAAACCTCAAATTCCTCTTGCATTGCCTTGTGCTTAGGGTCCTGGGTTGTGGGACAGGTTTTCTTCATGTTCCTGTTCTACCGTCAACTTTGGGCCTTTATCAAGGGCCAGAGTCTCAGAGAAGATTTCCCTCCAAGTTCTCATCTCTTCTTCAGTAGTAATCTGCTATTGTTGTTACTGGGTGACTGCTGGCCTAGGTGTGGGGCCCAGAACATTCTCTGTTGATCTACCCTCAGTCTTAGGGAAGCCCTACCCATGGTCTTTGGGTGGGTGTTTTTCAATGTTCATTCTCCTTCCATATTGGTAGGAGACCTTGAATGTTTTGGGCTCAGGATGGTTTCCTGCCTCTCCTCCAGGGGTAGAAGGTTTTTTTCTTTTCCTTTCCTTCAACCACAGTAGGCCTTCATTTGAGTTCTGTGGATTAAAAATAAAATTGATTTTCTGCAGTTCCCTCAGCAGCTTAAGGCTCTTGTTCCTCAGGGAGAAGAATCTGGTAGATTATATAATTTTTTCAGAGAAGCCGTTGACCCCGTCCTTCGGGCTCCTACCACTGAGGGAGGGTATCTCCAGTCTTCCACTCTGAGCTCCATCATTTGGAGGAGGCTCTGGAGAAGAGCCTGTACGTGGTATGAAGAGTCTTATGTCCATGTTGGCCATGGAGCCTTCTACTGCCATTCCACCCCACACCTGGCCTCTAGCAATTCTTTCAACGCATCTGGTGAGTTCTTCTTACCTGCTTATGTGGAGCTCAGGATCTTTTCATCTCTCAAGCTCTGCCACAGGGGAGATGCTCCAGTACCATCTGCTTGAAGGAGATTGTCTTTCCTCGGATTTCAGGCTATTCATTGGCTCTGTTATCTCAGCTCTCTGATACTTTCAAGGAGAGATATGATTTTGTAGATTCTCTTGCTTTTTCTTTTTCCGGGTAGAAGCGACGTTCTTTCCAACTTTGTGTATCTCAGGCAGGAGCAGAACTCCTGTCCACTCTTTAAGTCTATATCTGTGGAAAGTGAAAATCCTGCCATGACTTTTTCTGATAGGTAGGAACCATGTGGGGCGGAATGATTAGATCTTATAGTCACCTCTGTTTTCTTCCATTTCTCATATATTCTGATTGTGTCTTTAACACTGCCCTGGCATTGACCCTAATTCAAGACTTTGTTTCTCTTCTCAGTTCCCCACCTCCAAAGTAAACAAAAATACAAAATTGTTGAATACTGCTGAACTTTTACTGAAGATTTGCATTTAGATTGGGAGGTGGCACAGCACATTTTACCACTAACAATTTAAAGTAATGGGATCTAAAATTCCATAAGCCTTCTCACTGTATCACTTCTCACTGGCCCTTTATTTTTCACACAGCCCAAACTATTTTATTTCACTGTATCCTCTCTCACTTTTATTTTCCTTATGTCTTTACCCCTCTTATCTCAGAAATTGCAAAGTTCTTTCTCTACTATGAAGAGCAATTAAACTCTCCACCACCTTTTGAAGATGTATCTCCAAACTTATCCAAGCATTTAGCAAATAAAACATGGCTTTCATTTCACAAGATTAACTCTCACTAGAGGAGAATGCACTCACAGGATAACAAATAGTGTTTCCGTTTGCAACTGCATCCAGTTTTATGAATGCAAAGCCCACCATAATTAGAGAGAATCCACAGATCCCAAGTTAAATAATTCTTGCTCTGAAGGACCTGACTCGTAATGTTTACTTCACAATAATATCAGGGTCAAGAGGAAAGAGGATGGGCATCACAAGCTTCAGTGCAGATTTGAGGTCGTGATATGACTACCTGTCTAACTTCTTATAAGTTTCAATGAAGCTCAGTTCTCATGGTTATGAAATGGCCTTTCTGGGTCATTATGTTAACACATGATATTCAGTGTATTCCTATTGCACAGGTTAGCTCAAGTAAAAACTAACACAAAGTTATTGCTATAGGAATAATATGAATATTAAACTTCTTAACAACTAGGTATGTTTCCTTTTTTTAAAATTGCAATCATTTAATTTATTTATTTTTCATTATACATTTTTATGGGGCACAGTTTGTTGTTTCGATACATGCATGTATTATATAATGATCCAACCTGAATAGTTAGCATAGCTATCACCCAAACGTTTAACATTTCTTTGTGTTTATAACTGTCAAGATCCTCTTTTCTGGTTATTTTGAAATATAAAATACAATGTGATTAGATATAGTCACTCTGGAGCACTAGAATTTATTCTTCTTCTCTAACTGTAACTTTGTACCTGTAGTAATGTTGTATGCGTGACGTTTCCATTTCTGATCTTGATTCAGTGTTCATAGTTTATCATTAATTCTTTCAGCCTACTTTGTACTGGCTGTTATAGAATATAAAATCAATATAACACATAGTTCGTTGTCTCACAGTTCTCATAATAATTACCTACACTCTTTTGTCTGTCATCTTTTGTCCTGGCATCAGAGTATCTATCAAGTAAGTGTTTTCAGAAGCAGATGGAAATAAGGACGAGAAGCCTTCAAGGCAACTATTTCTTCCACCTTTGAGCAATCCCCAGTGAAGTGCCTCAGACCAAAAAAAAAAAAAAAAAAAAAGTGCTCCTAAATATTGAATATGGAGGGCCGGCCCGGTGGCTCACTGCTACAGTGCGCCGCTTGGGAGCGCGGCGGCGCTCCCGCTGAGGGTTCGGATCCCACATACAGACCGGTTCCTGCTCACTGACTGAGCAAGGTGCGGGCGCGGCACCGAGGGTTGCGATCCCGTTGCCGGTCCCGTCCGGTACGGGCGCGACACTGAGGGTTGCGATCCGTTGCCGGACACGTAAAAAAAGACAAAAAGGAAAAAATAAATAAATAAATAAATATTGAATATGGAGATCAAACATGGCAGCTAAACTAAATTTTTGAAAACCATTACCAACTTTCCTGTCTGCCACAGAAGCAACTCTTGGCCTAAAGTAGAGAGATGGAAGAAAAGCCATCTGTGGCTCTGTTAGTAAATTCATGTTTTCAGTTATAATCTCAGAGCTTTAATAAATTCTTTCTTCTGGACACATCCTGAGTCCTGCAGGGCTTATGATACTTCAAGGGGAATCAGACCTCTTTGGTCAATTTCTTTGCTGGCCCTGGACATTCACCCAGTGTTCTGTGCAATACACTCTACGTTTTATTTCAATATATCTGTTTGTAAAATGAAACCTGCACTGTTTGCTTGTATACCTCACAAGTTGAAATTGCTGTGTTTTTTGAATATGTAAAGTAATATAATGATGATGAAGGATTCTTCTAGCAACTTGACTTTGTGAAAAATGATTTCTTCTTTGAACAGATTTATAAAACCTTGAATATTCATGTGACATTGGTTGGCCTTGAAATATGGACAAAGGGAGATAAAATAGAAATAGATTCAAATATAGAAACTACCTTATTGCGTTTCTCAAGTTGGCAAGAAACAATCCTTAAACACAGGAAGAATTATGATCATGTTCTGTTACTCAGGTATGTGACTAGTCTATTTTCCTGTGCACCTTAGGTGGGTTATTAAAAAAGAAGACAAAACAAATGGACAACAAAAAACTTTTTAAAGTAATTGACTTTCTGGTAGTACATGGTGACAAAAATGTTATTTCTGGCTATTCAGAAAATTTCCTAGTGGGCTATTTAATAATGTTTCCTTCTCATACTGATTAATACTAGAAAAGAAAAATCTGATGTATTCATATTCCTGGGCATAGTTGAAAATGTCATTAAGTAAGAAAAGTACTTTTAGAATCCATTTACATTACTTATCAGCATCCAGTTCTAACTGCCCGCACCCTCCCAAGCCATGCCATTCCAGTATTCCACCAAAATCTGCCTTTCTGGGAAAGAATCTTACCCTCTGGACATTTTTCCTCATCAAAATGTGCCTGTCCAGTGACCAGCCCTTCAAGACCATCTTCTCTGCTATGCAAGTTTACAGATAACTCATCTGATAAGTTAAACCTACCACAGCTTTAATATTCCTAAGTTAAAGTTTGGATTTGTCTAGATTACTAAATCATTAATTCCTTTTAAAAGGGGGCTATTTTTTTTTAATCATTTTTGTTATTCAAAATATCTAGGGCAGTACTTAGCCCAGAGAGAAATGGTGAATAACTGTGGAACTAATCTGCCTGGTGGTTAGCTCAGCTGGTTAGAGCATGGCCTTGTAATGCCAAGATCAAGGGTTTGGATCCCTGTACCAGTCAGCTGCCTGCAAAAAAAAAAAAAAAAAGACTGAATAACTGTGGAACTCAACTTAATACGAACTTACGTTTTGCATAGTCCTGTTGTCCTAAGAAACATTTAAATTGCAGAAGAACTACTTTGGAACAATGGAATCTTTTATCATCTCTTCTGATACCCTTAAAGCTACATATTAGAGTGGTACCCATTTTACCTACTTTATCTGCCTATAATATCAGTGTTTATCTTCCCAATCAGACACAGCTTGCTGACTGTCTCCCACTCTGAACTCAGAAACATGAAGCTTCCACAGCCTGTTGTTGGAGGTCATGTCTAGTCATTTGGCAGATTGAGGAGAGTGAACCAGATCTCCAAAGTAATATCATCCCTGATTTTCACACCTGGGATGGCACACAGCACATATTTCTGAGAGTATAGTTGTGCCTGGATATGGTCTTGGATATTTATGCACTGGCATGCCCCCAAATTTAGGGGGATGGAGGGTAGTAAATATCACCATAAACTTTATACTGGGAAATATTAATCTCTTTACTCCCTCCTTGTACAGGTATTTTTAAATACCTAATAAATAAGTTCAGATATATTTAAATGGGTATAAGAGGAAAACCTTTTACTGCCATAGAATGTCTCTTATTCTTACTAGTAGCTTCTCATGTCAATAACATGTGCAAATAGGGAAACAGGATTAAGTGCTAAGTGTCCCATCTGGGGATCATATTTGGGAATTCTTACATGTTGAGTTTCTTGTGCATCTTTCCTTCTATATTCACATAGATTCAGACGTGGCAAAATGGTATATATAGCATTATCATGGTGTTACTTTGGGTTTCAAGTGACCATGAGAGAAGTCAGACTCCAGATTATACTTCTCCTGTTACTTCCCTTCCATAAGTGGTGTTCTCCTAAGATCTCCAGAGTCTAGGGAGATCAGAATTCCAAGTTCCCTGAAGGTGCATAGTCAAATACTGACACTAAAAATGTGGGGATAGGAACATTTCAATAGTAAAGACAGAGAGTGTATCATTCTGACCAAAAAAGTAAAAAGGCAAAAAGGGCTCATCTAGCCTGACCACCTTCCTGGTATTTGAATCCTATTACATTCCAAATGTGTTCCTCCAGCCAACGACAGCTCTCTTTAAAGCGGGTCAAGTCTAAATGCTCTTCTTGAAATTAAATAAAATTTGAATTAAAATAAAATTAAATAAAAATTTAAACACATCTACATTTGTCTTTTTAGATAATCCAGTAATAGTCCTCTTTTTGCATGACAACTCTTTTAAAAGTTGTGTTATATCTATCAAATCTGCTCTGAGTTTCTGTGGTTGATTGAAAGTTTAAAAAATTTTCCACCACACCTAACTGATCACAGTGTTGAGTTCATTCACTGTGTTGCATTTTTTCCTCTGAACACTTTTAAATTTAATTAACTTATTTACTTTTTGTCTTTTAAGTGGTTTAGAGTCAAGTAAAATGAGATTCTAACCTTATATTTTTTGTCTGTTTCTTAGAAAACAACTTTTTACAATTTCAACTTAAGATTTCAACTGGCTTTTTCGATGCCTCTAGTATGCCACAGGTTTAAAATGAGCTAAGTATCAAATAAGGTCATGCACAGTCCCAGAACTCCAGAAATAAGAAGGCACTTTTATGTGCAAACTCATTAGCATTGTCGTTTACTGTGACTTTATTTTTGTGTTAATTAAACTACTCACTCAGATTGAAGAATGTATTTGCATCTTGTTTATAGTGGGAAGTGGCTCTACACACATGCGCAAGGAATTTCTTACCCAGGAAGTATGTGCCTGCCCTATTATTCCTCCAGTGTCATTAAGGTGGGCTGTGTTCTGTTATATTACTTAATCAACGTTTGAATTAAATTTCTGTAATGTTCTGTGTTCCTTTGAAACAGACCATGTGTGCACTTTGTCATACATTTCCACCAAGATATGCTATAAACTGCTATGTTTTCATTATTAAATGGGAAAAGAAATGTTTTATTTAAAAAACTGTAGATGAATAATAAAGGTAAGCTAATGTTGACCAGAGTTTAAAAGAACAGTAGACACAGACTAACATACCATGATTAGGAAAGCTATTTTGCATATTAAATATCATTATTTGGGCCGGCCCAGTGGCACACTGGAGAGTGCGCCGCTTGGGAGCACGGCGGCGCTCCCGCCAAGGGTTCAGATCCCATGTGGAGACCGGTTCCTGCTCACTGGCTGAGCGCGGGGCGGGCGCAACACCAAGGGTTGCGATCCCGCTGCCGGTCCCCGGTGCAGGCACGACACCGAGGGTTGCGATCCTGCTACCGGTCAGTAAAAAAGACAAAAAGGAAAAAATATATATATCACTATTTATAGGAACATTAACGTATACAAAATCTCATGGCTGATTTAGCAAGTGAGGACAGTTGTTCCTGTGATAAGAAGTGTGTAAACCACTTAATATATCACAGCAACACAGCCTTGCCCTTTGTTTTCAGAAAGCATAAGCCTATGAACTTTGACTCCTCTGGTTTATCTGATCCTTTCCCAAGTCACTAATCTTCTAATAGATGCTGTCCAAATAACCCTAAGAGATTATTGAGAACATAAAGGTTTGTATTTATTTCCTTATCTCTCTGATAAATTGTTGCTGTGCCCAGCCCAGTCTTGTTAAGACCTCAAACTTAGAAGCTGGCACTTATTAAAATAACTACATAACTAATTTTTATATAGTTATTTTTATGCTTATAGCTTTGTCTATGGTAGTTCAGTAACATAAGGTTTGCATAATAGAGTCAATCTAGTTTGATCTAGGCTGTTATACTACTGTGATTATAATATTAAAACCAGTCCAGGACACATTTCAAATTTCATATAAGTAAGATGAGATCACCAGATTAGGGTTATTTTATTAGATTTCCAGTAACATGATATCCTACCCCTCTTTGGAATTTTTATTTTTATTAATTAGCGATTGAAACATGGAATACAACTATGAGCCAAGATAACAACTGATTCTGCCATGAGTTTTATATCTCTGACCTTCAGATTTTCCTGATAATAGAAATCCCTCCCTTGAAATTATATAGCATTGCTTTGCAATGTGAGACTATAAATTGAAAACAAGGACCTCACATATTTTTGTTTTTATCCCCTTTGAATATCTAGTATAGAAAAGATAACCAATAATATTTATTATATTGCATAGGACATTTATCTTAGTCCTTTCAGACCGCTGTAACAAAACACTATAAACTGGGTGGCTAATAAACATCAGAAATTTATTTCTCACAGTTCTGGCGGCTGGAAAGTCCAAGATCATGGTGTGACAGATTTGGTCTCTGATGAGAGTCTGCTTTCTGGCTCATAGTTGGCACCATTTCACAGTGTCCTCACATGGTGGAAGGGGCAGGCTTCTTTTTGAAGGGCACTAATCCCATTCATAAGGGCTTTGTCCTCATGAGGAGTCTCTCTCAGGCTTCTTTTTGAAGGGCACTAATCCCATTCATAAGGGCTTTGTCCTCATAACCTAATCACCTCCCAAACCTTGGGGTAAGGGCTTCAACATATGAATTTTGGAGGAGCACAAACACTCAAACCATTGTAACAGTAGTTAATAGTTTTTAGTTATTTGTAAGAATGAGTCTAAGTAAATTCAATGGTGACTACTACTGTGCTACAAAAAAATAATTTCAAAATGTTAGAGCTAGAGATGCTTAAAAAGTCATTTTTCTAGCCTCTTTATGTACTTAAAGAAACCAAGGTGCCCAGGAGGGAGGTAACTAAGTCTGTGACTTCTCAACTAAGTACAGTTAACTAGAAGTTAGAAACCAGGTCTCTCAACCACTAGTTTGAAGAACTAAGTACTACAGTGTGCTATCTTTTAGAAATTTGTAATGCACTCTTTCGTTTGTTTTTGCCTCAGGATCTTTTACCTGACATAAACATAGTTGCAAACAGAATGGCCCATCAGTTGGGGCATAACCTTGGGATGTGGCATGACGAGTTCCCATGCACCTGTCCACTTGGAAAATGCGTGATGGATAGTGGTGGAAGGTGAGGCTCAAACAATATAGAGAATACATTGAAATATTTGGGGAGTAGCTTTTGTGTCACGATTTAATATTGTAGGGATATGTTGTTATTTTTTGGAATTTCCTAGAAGACCTATTATAAGGAATTTCTCTTGTAAGGCTAAATCTTATCAAGTGGTAGTGTCTCTAGTGATAGGGTAAGAGAAAACCTCTAGCTCCGTCCAGGAACACTGCAAAGGTTCCATCTGGGATCACCACAATGAGCAATTGGTACCAACCTCTACCGAGGCAGTCTGGGGAGAAATAGACTCGGCATGTCTTGTTTTGTCGTCTTTGCTGTAAGATATAATTTCCTCCTTCACATCATTACTCAAATGTCATTCTCAACAAGGCCTTCCCTGGCCACCTAATCCAGCTTCTTAAATCTATCCCATTCGTACACATATCATGGCATTTGTTTTGTTTTCTCCTTAGTACTTTATCACCATCTCTATTAGTCCATTTCTATTGCTTATAACAAAGTACCTGGAACTGGGTAATTTGCAAAGAAAATGAAATTTATTACTTACAGTTTCAGAGGATGGGAAGTCCAAAGTCCAGGGAACACATCTGACGCGGGTCTTGGTGGTGGCGACAGTGACCCAGGGGTCTCACATGGCAGAAAATGGTGGAGCAGAGAGAGATTAACCTCTCACATGTTCTCCTTTTAAAGCCCTCAGAACCATGCTCCAATGACCATTATTAATCCATTCACTACAGCATTGTCCTACACTCTAATCACCTCCTTAGGGCCCCACCTTTCAATTATTGTAGTAGGATTTCCCACCCTCAACAGCTACAATGGGAATTAAGTTTCTAATATATGAACTTTGGGGGACACAATTCAATAAATCCACAGAGCCAACTACCATAATCTATGTTTTATATGTTTGGCTTATTTATTTTACTCTTCCACTAGAATATAAGCTCCATGAGGTCAGAGGGTTTTGTCTGTTTGGGTCACTGTTATATGGCCATTGTCTAACAAAGTCCCCAGCACATTTCAGGTACTTCATAAATAGTTACAGAATAAATGAACGTCCACTGTCCCCCTATACTGTAAATTACCTTGCAGCCAGCTCCTAAGTCTTATGTATCTTTGAATCACAGCAAGTACACATAATGCATTGTATATGGTAAGAAAAAGTGACTGCGGATGATGATGCTTCCACTTATTGATTAGGTGAAGTACAGTAGCTAACACACCAAAATGCAGTGGCTAGCATAGAGTAAGAACTGAGTAACTGGCATCTCATTTTACACAATTATCTACATAATTAGTAATGTTTTTTTCAGAGTCCCACCATCCCAATCTAACGTAATCAAGACTAAAAGTCCTTCTGTATTTAACTATTTTGTCAGTAATAATAAAGGAAGGTGAAGGGGAGGTGGATTTAAGTTTAGAAAGAAATATATTGTGTTCCTAAGGATACATATGACATTATTAAATAAACAGTTCATTTCAACAAATATTTATAGGGGACTACTCTGTAGCCAAGCACTGTGTTAACTAGTGGCTATTTTTTTTTTAAAAAGTTGAACATGATACAGTCCTTGCATTGGGAAGTTTGTAATTTTCAGGGATGATAAACAAGTGTATGGGTTATTTCAAGAGGGACAAATAAAGGGGACTCTGGGAGCAGCAAGGCTGGACAACCAGGCTAAACTGGCGGATTCAGGAGGGAGTCGTTGGAGAATATATAACAAGAGTATTTTCACTAAAATAACATGTTAGCTGTGTTTGGAGAAGAAATTTTCCGTAATAAAGAGCCTAGTTACTGCTCTGCTCTAATGGTGCACATTTATATCTTTTCTTTCTAAATTCTTCATAAAACTTTCATGGCTGCTATACCACTATGCATTGATTAATCTTTATCTTTTATCTCATGCCACCTCTAGCATTCCTGCAGTAAAATTCAGTAAATGCAGCCAAATCCAGTACCATCGATACTTGAGGGATTCTAAGCCAAAGTGCATGCTCAATGTTCCATTTCCTGACAAGTTCAACTATTTCCCATACTGTGGAAATAAAATGTTGGACGATGGAGAAGAATGTGATTGTGGCCCTGTGCAGGTATTTGCAACTGATGTTGTCTTTAAGTTACAAAGTTTATGCTCAGCCAGAACCTAGGCAGGGATGTAGCCATTAATCAAATCGACCATGGTGTCTCTTGTAAAGCTTTAAAACTGTGTTTGTTTGCTGTTCTCTTTCATTTGGAAGCAAGCTGTTTATGCAACCTCATTTCAAGGCTTTTTTTACCAAGTCCTAAATCATTTACAATGATCTTGCTAGAGATCAGCAGTATCACATTTGCCTGGTTTATGTATTAATTGGCTCTTCTTGTGAGGAAGATCCATCAGTGTCGTTAAATCTGTTCTCTCATGCACAGTAGGAATCTGTTCTGCAAAATCTGTCATAGTCAATCAGATTTTACTCAGGGCCTTATGAGGCTAGCCTATATCATGGTCGGACAGTTCTCATTAGGAAACTTTTTCTTAAAAGAGTGGAAACCTTTTAACCTTTCACATATTAATTTCAGTCTTGTTCTCTGGAGCATTTTTAAAAAGGCTTTGAGGCAAATTTTAAAGTAATTTTTGATCTGCTTTTCCCCAACATAGACGCTATTTCTTTCAAGAGCTCATCATACAGGTATTTGTCCTAGACCACTTAACAAGTGCATATAAATTACCAGGGGACATTGTTAAAACATGGAGTCTGATTCAGTAGGTCTGAAGTAGGACTGAGATTCTACATTCCTACCAAGCTGCCAGGTTATGCCACTGCTGGTTTGACGACCACACTTTTAGTAGCTAAGCTCTAGACACTGCACAGTTCAAAAGAGAACAGTGATTAAGATACTATTATTAGAGTGGAGGCAGTGACCTGTTCAGAGATTACAAGAACTAGTCTTTGTCTTAGATTAAATGTGATGAGCCTCTTAAGTTTGGATAATGCCCATGCACATTCTATGAAATGGTTCCACAGTTTCACTCTAACACATGAAGCACCTGACCTGAACAAACACACAATTTTCTAAGCAATTTTACTTTAAGTAGATAGGGCCTAAGTGACCATCCTGCTGCTATTTAGTGATGCATCTTTATTTTTTTTTTTTTAAAAAAAAGAAAGATCAGCCTGAAATACCTGGCATCTTGAGCAAAAGGGAAAATCAGATCTTCAGAAGTTATAGTACCTTATATTGAACTTTAGTTTAAGGAAGTGGCAGGAGCCTTCCCGAAAATGGAAGTCACCAGGAGATTATTTAGTGATGCATCTTTATTTTTTTTTTTTAAAAAAAGAAAGATCAGCCTGAAATACCTGGCATCTTGAGCAAAAGGGAAAATCAGATCTTCAGAAGTTATAGTACCTCATATTGAACTTTAGTTTAAGGAAGTGGCAGGAGCCTTCCCGAAAATGGAAGTCACCAGGAGAACAGAAAGTCACAAACTTTTGACTGTCTAATTCTGTCAATGAGAATTCATTAGCTGTGGAGTACCAAACAGCCACACAACAAGGAAACACAGTAAAAGTCCCAGACACCAGCTCCAAACAGTAATCTTTACCTAAATACCATAGCCAAGGATCATGCATTTGTATTTACAAATTTAAAACTCTGAAAGATTACACAGAAGTACAACTAGCTAATTCTTTGAACACGAACCAAAACACACATCCAGTTCTGATCTTTAAATTTTGGTTATTGCCAGGAGTGTACTAATCCTTGCTGTGATGCACACAAATGTATACTGAAGCCAGGATTTACTTGTGCAGAAGGAGAATGTTGTGAATCTTGTCAGGTAAGATCCTGTGCTCTCAGATGGTTTTGCTGTCTTCACTTTAAGTGTATAAAGGACCAAACAACTTTCTGAGCATTGGATGACCCAACACCCTAATTCTGGAATGGGGCTAGGCTTGCAAATACCTGAGATGCTCTGACTTAGGAGCATTGGATAGTGCTATGGTCTGGGGAGTGCAGAAGCTGGTTAGCAGCACTTGGTGTGTTAGGAGTAAAGTCACATGACCAACACTCTCCTTGCTCATTTGTAAATCTTTAGTTAGATTAAGTCTAACTTATTTAATCTCAGCTGGGAGGAAAATTCATATCCCAACAACAATGAGCTAAAAGGGAAAAAGATTATATTGGGATTGGAAAGTGATTGTGGCTAGTAGGTAGTAAAATATTCCTAGGCAAGATGACCAGAAATCCAAATGGCTCTGTCCAAAGGTTTATTAACACTTTGTGTTTACCCTGCTGTAAAGAAGGAAAGAAAAGAAAGCATGCCTTGAACATCTTCAAATCCAGTAGAACCCAGCACAATTAAATAGATATTGAATGGCTAAATAAGTGACTATCTCAATGCAGTTCTCTCCAGCAATAAGAGCCAGGGTATTTTTCCAGGTCATATGGAGGGTTCTGATATTTTGAGAATGTAGATTCCTCATTTTAGGCAGGGGCTTCCAGTTTTGTTTGTTTGTTGTCAGGGGGGAGTGCTGGGAGAACAGAGATGCGTGTACTGGAGCAAGTGATAAAGAAAAAACAAAATAAATGAGAACACATGACCGTTTCTTCATTTTATCTCCATTCCAACTCTACCTAAGGCTGTTCTAATTCCAAATTTTAAAATCACCATCTTCTTATTCCTAAATTACATAAAATCCAAGCTATTTACAGATGATAGTAATAGTAGAATAAAGAAGGCAGTTATAATTCATCTTTAAAGCCTTTTTTAGACAAATTAAATGGGTCTGCTTTCTGCCTACTTACTGAACCCTACCTAATTAAATGTGTCCAAGATTCGGTCTCTTTGTTTTTACTTAACAGTTGAAAAAAGCAGGGTCCATATGCAGACCAGCAGAAGATGAATGTGATTTTCCTGAAGTGTGTACTGGCCACTCTTCTGGATGTCCTAAGGACCAATTCCAAGTCAATGGATCTCCTTGCAAGAACTCAGAAGGCTACTGTTTCATGGGAAAATGTCCCACCCGGAGTGTTCAGTGCTCTGAATTGTTTGATGATGGTGAGAGACAATCATAGTGAATGATTTATTGATAAAAATAATAGCCTTCATTTCTCTGTTATTGTCCTATAGGAATGAGCCAAAATTTTAGGTTTGTTACCGACATTCTGTAGGGCTTTTTATATGCCACAAAACAAAATTTATGCTAAAAACAACAACCTCAGAAACCTACGGTTGAGTTCAAATTTGCTCATAAATACACTAGGTGAGAATAGACAGTCACTTAACTTCCATTCCTTTCAATTGCTGCTTAATCTGTAAAATGGGGTTATAATAATGGTATCCTCACAGGTCTATTGTCAGAATCAACTGACATGCTCTATGCAAGAAAGAATAAGAAGGGATTCTTGGTGTCCTGATTAAAGTTATGCCAATTCAAATGACTAATGAGAAATATTCTTCCATGAACTTGAGCTAATGTTTATTTGTGAGAATCATAGAGATATCAAAAAGAAATGTGATCATTTTACATTCTTCACCTACTCATCTCAATTCGCGGGGTCAGGACTTTGCTATCCAATGGTTTTCCTCTGCGTCTCCTGGCCCCTTTAACCTGTCAACAAACCTGTGTCTAGAGAAAAGTGACCAGGATGCTGCCAGCTTATTCTCTTAAGCTCTATTTCTGGTTGTAAGTTTGAGAATATTCTTCCTTTCCTTCAGAGATGTACGATGTGGAAAGATATACTGTATTGGAGGACAACGCTCATCTCTCCTTGGGGAAGACAAGACCTATTACCTTAAGAATTCACAGCAGAATGTCACTATCAAATGCAAAACCATTTTTTTACACCACAATTCTGAAGATATTGGCTTAGTTGCTTCTGGAACAAAATGTGGAGATGGAATGGTAAGACGAAATCCCTTTGCTTTATTGAAACTTCTTCGTTCAGCTGTTTTAAAATGTCACTGGATCTTATAATTGGTTCCAGAGGGATCTATATATATAAAAAAGCAGGAAAAAATTGGCATCTTTGTTTTCTAATTGAGGAGCAGAGGAGTAATAACACTGTAATTAATATTCATTTTGCCTAATTTTAGTTATTCCAAATATATAATTACTTTATAAATGAGCTTAACAAGTATCTTAACAGTAGACATGTAATGAAATTATAGACACAATAATTTTCTAACTAATGTGACTATAAAGTAGTCATACATTCTTCATTTATTTTTGTTTATTCAACCATATTTACTGGCCATGTGCTATGGTGCCAATGACTATCCTAGACACAGATGATTTAAAGATGAGTGTACTTGAGAATTTCACACATTAACTAAACAGATCATTGCAATTTGACAACAGTACTCTTGCAGTGCTGTGACCAGTGTGCTTTTGGAATCTAAAAGAAGGGGCTTACTTTGCTCATAGAAGGTTATCACTTGATAACCAACAATTTTAACACACAGAAAATGGGGAAAGACTTTTCAGAAATACCTACACAATGTGAAAAGGCACAAAGCATATGGCATCTTCAGATAACCAACAATTTCAGAGTGTCTTCAGCTTTGGGTAAAATGGCAAAAGATGAAGCTGAACGGATAGTATAAGGCCATATTAGAGAGGGTTTATCATACCAAGATGAAAATGTTAGAATGTATACTATAAACAATAGCCAGCTAATCTAGCATATATGAGAAACATACAGTACCTTACCAAAAAGTCAGCTTTTGCAATCAAGTAGTTTCTCTCCATATAATATGTCTTCTACCTCTCTCTCTGCACCACCACCTGCAGATATTACAGTGGCATTTCTATAGCATAATAGAAAAATAAATTGGATAATAGAAATTCAGAATGTAAAAAAATAATAATTAGAACTTAATGATTTACTTTAGATTTGCATTTCAAGTCCATACATTGAACTATATTGTTCCCCATTAAAATGACTAAATGAATATTGAAATGGAGAGAAATCTATATTTGTGAAAATTAAAGTAAATTTAATTTTCTAGAAAATTCAAGGATGTTCATCAAGGTAGAGTGTATGCAGCATCAGGCTGAAGAAAATACCAAACAATTTGCTATTCACTTAAGATACAGAAAATCAACCTAAGGTATGAAGTCAAAGTCTGGCATTCCCTTCATTAAGAGTGGCAGGGACTGAAGAAAGAGGCTGATAGGGAAGCAGTTGTTAAGGAATACATGTCAGTCTTACAAATGTGCCATGACCATGTACCACCACACGGAGTGCCTCTTCCTCCCAAGAACGTTTACAGCAGAGGCACCAATCAGTGGTGCCAGCTCTTCAGCCAATTCCTAATGAGAGAATTCGTGCACAGCAAATGCAAGTCTTTGCTGATATCACAATGACACTAGTCATCTGCATTGGGATACATGACCATGTACCACCACACGGAGTGCCTCTTCCTCCCAAGAAGGTTTACAGCAGAGGCACCAATCAGTGGTGCCAGCTCTTCAGCCAATTCCTAATGAGAGAATTTGTGCACAGCAAATGCAAGTCTTTGCTGATATCACAATGACACTAGTCATCTGCATTGGGATACTGTTTTTAGATATAGTGAACTTAATATGCATAAAAACTTTTTTCTTTGTCTAAGTATTTATTTTTCCTGGATACATTTTAATTTGGCACAGAATGATAGGGCAAATATATTGCATTGCCACTAAGTGCCTTTTTCCTTAGTTATGCTATGGTACTAACAGCATAGAGAGGGAAAGATAGAGAAAAGGAAATAAAAGTGAAGAATAGGGAAGACAAGGAAAGGGTAGAAGAGTGAAGAAGGAAGAAGGGGGCAGGAGAGGAGAGGAGGGGAGAAGAAAATTAGATCATCTTCTTACATGGAAGAATTGTTGCAAAACCGTCTGTGATTCTCCCTTTATTAAACATATGAAAAAAGCAAAATCAAAGTAACACGCATCTCAATATTTCCCTTTAGTTGAACCTGAAATACTTGAAGAGTTATCTACATGGGTTTTAAAACAATCTTCCCAGGGCACAATCATGTGTACATAAAATTCATTCTATGAGAACAGACAAAGAGAAGAAATAGCAAGAGACATGGAAGAATTCAACAGTGTGAACAAAGGAAACCAACCTGAGAAATCATAGGCAATAGTCCCCTAGGAAACAGATATACATTAAAAAAGAGGAAAGTCATCCAGAAAAAGTGACGTTTTTTAAAAGATGCTATTTGTAAGAGAATTTTAGTGTAAATTAAACAGAAGATACAGAGATTTCTCATATCCCCATTGCATGCACAGCCTCTGCCATTATCAACACCCCCCACCAAAGTGGTGCATTTGTTACAAATGACGAATCTACATAACACGTTACCACCACTCAAAATCTGTAGTTTTTCATTAGGGTTCACTCTTGGTGTTGAACGTTCTATGGGTTTGGACAAATTTATAAGAACATGTATCCACCAATATAGTATACGGTCGTTCCTCTGTGTTCTGTGTATTCATCCCACCGTCTCTCCAAGCCCATGATAACCACTGATCTTTTTATCCTTTCCATAGTTTGCCCTTTCCATGATGCCACACAATTGAAATCATATAGGACTTAGCCCCATTCTGACTGGCTTCGCTTACTTAGTAATATGCATTTAAGTTTGCTTCATGGCTTGATAGCTCATTTCTTTTCAGTACTGACCAATACTGCACTGTCTGAATGCACCACAGTTTATTCATTCACCCACCTACTGATGGACATTCTGATTGCCCCTAAATTTTGGCATCTCTAAACAAAAGTGCTATAAACATTCATGCACAGGCCCTTGTGTGAACACTAGTCTTCAACTTCCCTGAGCAAATTGAAGAGTGCAACTGCTGGATTGTATGGCAAGAGCATGTTCAGTCTTGTAAGAAACCATCAAATTGTCTTCCTAAGTGGCTGCACGACTCTGCGTTCCCACTAGCAGTGAACGAGAGCCTGCATTGTTCTGCATCCTCACCAGCATTTGGTGTCATCCGTATTCTGAACTTTGGTTATTCTAATAGGTGTGTAGTAGTATTTGAAACATTTTTAGGGAAGATTTTAATAATGGATTTACTTTTAAAATACATATAGGGACTTCTGGTTCCAGATGAGATGGAGTAGACACTTCTCCTTCTGCTAAACACAGTTAAAACAAGGGACATTATATATTTAAAAAGCATAAGACCTTGCTAGGTTGGGAGAAGAAAGATGAGCTAGAGACCTTGAGACCTGAGGAAGCACAGGAGAGTAGGTTCTCTGGGTTTTCTTTTTGCCTTCTCTATATGCCAGATTGAGTGCTAGATAAGCCTACACCTTGGAAACACTAGTTGGAACAAACAAAAAAAGCACCAAGAAAATCTCACTCTCTCTAGCCAAGGAACCAGGAAAGAAGTGAGCTAACAAGATAGAAAATATTTTGGAAATAATAACCCTACTCCAGACAAACACCAGAGAGAAAAATACTGCAGTCTTACCGCAGCCACATCGGCAAAGATCAAGGGAAAAGCCTAGACCTCCATCCTGTTTCAACTATAACAGATGCTCCTCCCCTCCATGCTGGGTTTTAGAAGGAGCTTAGTGGGGTGTCAAGACTTTTTATCACAGTTCAGTGGTAATGAATCCTCCCATCCCCACTGTGTCATGAAGGCCATATAAAGAACCTGGATTTTCACTTCATCTGGCACGAATAAGGCATGGTTTTAGAGAAGGCCTGCTAAGACAATCATTTGAATAAGATCCAGTATCTCATAGTACCTTAAATATCCAGGATACAAAGGAATATCATTCCTTATACAAAGAACCAGGAAAATCTCAATGTAAATGATAAAATACCATCTCCAGATGCAACAATAAGATGACACATATGTTGGAATTCTGACAAGGAATTTAAAGTAGCCATTATAAAAATGCTTCACTGAGCAATTATGCACACACTTGAAACAAATGGAAAAAAATAAATAAAAAGAAAGAGCATCTTGGCAAAGAAATAGAAAGTCTGTCAAGATGTATAAAATATAAATAAGAACCAAATGAAAAGTTTAGAACCGAAAAATACAATAATAAAAATTAAAAATCCAATGGATGGACTTAACAGCACAATGGAGGGAAAAGAAGAAAGAATCAGTGAACTAAAAGTGTTTGGGAGCAACTAATGTAACTAGTAAGCTATCTTCTTCCAGAAATATTAAGAAAAATGTAATAGAAATGTAACTAAGATAAGTGAGATGTTTTAATATGCATACATCTTTTGAATTGCACATTTTTCTCTTGAAGATTATAATAAAAATAACATGACTGTGAAAAAAATGAACTTGAAAACAATAAAAATAGAAATTATCTAATCTGAACAGAAGAAATAAAAAAAAAAGAGCCTTAGAGAGAGAAGTTGAGTGAATGTCAGACAGAATAAATCCTCTGAAATTGAAAAACTAAAGACAAAGGAAAAAGTATTGAGAGCAACAAGAGAGAAAACACATCTTACCTATAGGGGAAAACAATTTGATGAATAATGCACATCATAAACCAAGGAAGTCAGAAGGAAGTGCTGCAAAATTCTTTAAATGATGACAGTCCGGGCCGAGCCCGTGGCACACTCGGGAGAGTGCAGCGCTCCCGCCGTGGGTTCGGATCCTATATAGGGATGACTGGTGCACTCACAGTGCTCACTGGCTGAGCGCAGTGCGGCGGGTCTCAAAAAGGACAAAAAAAAAAAGTGATGACAGTCCACCAGGGCAGATATATTGCCATTTCAAATAAAGGGTGGAAATCTTACCTCTCTTTAAGTCCCTTTATCTTCCCCATTTATAATACAATTATTTTAAGTATTTCCTCTAGGTACATTGAGAACCATATTATAGTTTTTACTTCAACAATCAAACATAATTCAGAAAACTCCAGTGGAGAATGATAGCCTATTGTTTGTACCCATATTTTTACTTTCCCATTGTTTCTTTCTACTTCTTGGTGTTCAAAGATTCCTTCCTTTATCAAGTAAAAGTTAAATTCGGGGGTAAGATTTAAAAAAATACTTAATCTCTACAAAATGGTGTAATTTGAGATCAAGAAGCATTGCTTTCAAAGTACAAAATATAATGATTGCTGGTTTATATGTAATTTGGACAATAAACCATAGAATGGATTTTACCAAAAAAATAAGTAAATTAGGAGCTGAGCTTCATAACACAGGTGGACAAGATAAAGTAATTTAAAAATAAAAGAAAATAAATAAAAGCAGGAAATACAATCCTAAGAAATACCATACAGATTTAATAGGAATCCTAGATAAAACAGAAGAGATGAAAATACAATTAGAAAAATAATAATAATAAATTTTGCTGATCTGAGGAATGTATAAAATAAAAAATTCATTTAGTACCAGGAGAAATTCATTGGAAGAAATGAGCATTTATGCTTACTCTCATGCCAGGAATGTCAAGAGTAAAGAAAATGTGCTACAAACACAAAGGAGGACGGGTCATTATTTTTCTACAGGAAAAATGGTCAGGTTAGCATCATATTTCTTTGCAACAAGAAGTACCAGAAGATAATGAAGCAACATCTACAGAGCTTTGAGGAACACAAATATCAGGACCCTAAAACCATACATACAGCCAAGTTATTATTCAGACAGTAAAGCAAGAGAGTGATACCCTCACACACATTGTGACTAAGAAAATATGCAGTAATATATAGACCACATTTATTTTCTGAAAAGAAAAATAGTCAAGAAAAATAGTCAACTGGGAAATTAATTTAAATTATGAAGTCAAAATGAGAAGATAGGCTTTTAAATAAATGGTTGCAAGCAACCAAATCTATAAAACTTTTGAGTAAATTTGAGTTATTTATGCTTAGTGTTTTTATTATAAGACTGCTAATAATATCTTGAATAGTGAATAATAATAATTTTCAGAAATCTAAAATCTCAGTTTACTCAAATAATTAACTTGAAGTGAAAGGAAGAGGAAAGAAGTAAAAATATGATAAATATCTTACCTCATACAAAGAGAAGTTAATGCTGACTTTTTCTTGAAAATGATAGAATTGCATAGGTTCAAATATTCTAATTTAAATGAAATCAATATTTAGAAAATATCATATATAACTTTCAAAATAGAAAAAAGTAATTGATGAATAAAGGGATAAATATAGCAAAATGTAAGGTGAAATGTCAAATATTAAAAATAATATAATAAGATGAAAGAAGTGGAATTAAACATATTATTTATCACAATACCTATGAATGAATTAAAATCTCCTGATTTAAAATTTAAATATTATCCTTGTATTGGTGGCAAAAAAATTAATGTTCAGTTATAAGTAAAAGTAAAAATAACAGTTAAAAATTAAATAAATGGGCAAAGATAAACCAGGCAAAAACCAAAAACAACAATATTTTGGTGATAAAATTTACCAAGAAAATGAACATTTAAAACAAAGGTATTCAGCATAAATAAAAAGATTAATTGATATCAATAAAATACCCAACCAGCAATTAATTGTGGTATAATAAGCATAGATCATTATATAAAATCAAAAGGAAAACTTGATAGAAACAGAAGAAATTGTTGGAATTATAATAATAGAATTTGTATTGGTTAACATTCAAATAATTAATAAGGACATAAATATTTAATAATTAATGAGTTTGTATACAACAATGTTTGCATGTACCGTTCCTTCATTAAATATTTATAGAGAATTTCCCTGTCCACCGAAGACACTAGAACTGGAATATCACAACAGGAAAGAATCGCCTAAGTTGTAATTAAATCACATAAATTAGAATGTATTATACCTTTCACATGCAATTACATGAAATTACAATTTCACATACCTTGTAAGTCATTCTAACTCATGTTGGTTAATTCATTTCTAGGTGTGCAGCAATGGTGAATGTGTAAATGTTGAACAGGTCTACAATTCAACCAATTGCCCCTTTCATTGTGAGGAAAATGCTGTAAGATTCTACTGCTTTTAAATTAACATTTTACTAGCCATTTATTTACATAGGACTTTATTTCTGAGCCTGTGTGTGCATGTATATGTATGCATATTTGTATTTATGCTGACTTTCAAATCAAATATGTATTTGGAATCCATTTATTTCAAGTGTTATCAATAAAACCGATCTAAAGAGCCAAACTAGACATTATTGCACGTAGATGTTGCCATAATTACAAGTAGATGTTTTATTATTGGACCAGTAGTCTAGAAATCCAGTAATTTATGTACATATAAAACTTAAACCTGAACTTAAACTTCGATCTCTCACATCTCTTACAGTGACAAGTCTGTGTTCATAACTATTACACAGTTTTCTCTGATGAATTAAACATTGTCATTGTGCCACCATTTATTTCCCATGTCAATATGATATGTCCAACTCTAATAGGGCCTGTTCATTTAAGGACATGGATTCTTTCTAAATAGGTAAATCATGCTGTCTTGTTCATATGTCCTTCAATTTGTCGGTATCATTCTCTTCTTCAAAGGTGGTTGCTTCTTGTATTTTGTTTGCTTATTTTTGTTCATCCTTGATTTTGTAGGTAGTTTAGTTAATCAATAAAAAGTGTGTGTGTGCGTGTGTGTGTGCATTTGATGTCATGCTAATAGTAAGCTAAGTGAGGTACCAAGCTTATGTCAGTCATTTGATAACATGTGATTGACTGCTCTTCCAGGTGCATGGCCATGAACTCGAGTGCCAGTGTGAAGAAGTACAGGCACCTGTACACTGGGAAGAACCCATAAATGTTACCAGTGAGCATCCTAGAATATAATATCTTATAAATATCAAAAGCCTATCCAGTGAGAATGTTTTGGGGTTTTTTTTTCTTATTTTCAACATATGCTACATAATTGTTGTGTTTCTGTATGGATTTGTCTGGTCTTTTTATTATTTTGCATGTAAATGTTACCAGTGAGCATCCTAGAATATAATATCTTATAAATATCAAAAGCCTATCCAGTGAGAATGTTTTGGCGTTTTTTTTTTCTTATTTTCAGCATATGCTACATAATTGTTGTGTTTCTGTATGGATTTGTCTGGTCTTTTTATTATTTTGCATGTCTGGCTACCCAAACTGAATTTACTACAACTGCCTTTTAAAATTAATAGATCTTCTGCTGTTCAAATTTGGCTTAGGTCTTCTGAGAACCCACAATACAAGACCTTTTCTATAGTCAGTTAGTTAATGACAACCAAAACATTTCCTGTATAGAGGAATCTTTGGTGAAATGTCAATTGCTAATACAAATGATAATTTGTATAATGTTTTGGTAAATTTGGCTTAGGTCTTCTGAGAACCCACAATACAAGACCTTTTCTATAGTCAGTTAGTTAATGACAACCAAAACATTTCCTGTGTAGAGGAATCTTTGGTGAAATGTCAATTGCTAATACAAATGATAATTTGTATAATGTTTTGGCTTTTTACTTTATGTGGAAATAATTGCAGAAAGAGTAATTATATTCCTTTAGGAAGGAAGAAGCAAGGTTGTAACAGCTGCATTCGATATTAGTATTCTACTGTCCTAAAATTGATGCCCTGGCTAATAACCATGTATTTTAATGTTGCAGATGTTGTCATCTTGGTTGTTGTGTTTGTCCTGGTTGTTACTGGTGTTGGAGCTGTCACATTTTTAATTCGAGATATTAGTATTCTACTGTCCTAAAATTGATGCCCTGGCTAATAACCATGTATTTTAATGTTGCAGATGTTGTTATCTTGGTTGTTGTGTTTGTCCTGGTTGTTACTGGTGTTGGAGCTGTCACATTTTTAATTCGTTACCAAAAATGTATTAAGTTGAAGCAAGTTCAGAGGTATGTCTGCATTTTCTGTATGTTGAAGGGGACCACTACTTAGAATATCTAAGCTTTGTGGCCACAGAGGATAATCGAGGGGGAAAAAATATAATCCTCTTACTGAAGACCAGGTAAGAAAGTAGTAAATTAAGCTTTTACATACTAGCCCATATCCAAATGCTTATCCCAATGGTTCCCACACTTTTCTTCACATTAAAATCACCTAGAGATCTTTCAAAACAATACTGATATTGGTGTTCCCCCAAGACATTGTGACTTAATTGTTATAGGATGCAACATGAGTATCAGTATTTTAAAAATGTTGTAGATGATTTTATTTTAACTACAGGCTTGTCTTATAGCTTGTGTCAGTGTTCAATTTTCTTCTCTACAGCCTGCCTAGAGATACACTGGGAGTGGAGAATAAAGGATACTTTGGTGATGAGCAGCAGACAAGGACAGAGCCAATCTTGCCAGATATTAATCCCCTGGATGTAAGAAACATTCATTTGCAATACTTAATTAATTGATAAATAAGTCGTGTGTGTGTGTGTTTAAAGTGGAATTATCCCTAAGCTAAGTGAGATGGGAGGTGCAGAGAAGTAATTTAACACGGTTCCACACAAATGAAGCTCTCAATCTACATGTGAGGAAGGGAAAAGAGAGCAGGACTGAAACAAACATGGAACAATAACAAAGACACTATTTCAGAGTAGAATATATTGGATTAAAAAATACTAATTTGCACACTATTGGAAAAACTTACAAACATAAACCATATTCCGGACCATAAAACAACTCTTAATAAACTTAGAAGAATTGGAGTCCTACAAAATATGTTCTCAAAATAAAATTCTATTAGAAATTAATAACAGAAAAATATTGGAAAAAATTCTCCAACTGGAAATTAGTTAACAAATTCTAAAGAGCCCATGTTTCAAAGGAAAATCAAACTAAATGAATGAATTTTAAACACAGCATATCAAAATATGAGGAAAGCAGTGAAATTAGTAATTAGAGGAAAATGTACAGCACTAGATGTGTATCTTAGAAAAGAAGAGAGTTTTCAGATCAATGACCTCAGCTTTTATTTTAAGAAACTAGAAATAATAAAGCAAATTAAACCCAGTATATACAGAGAACAGGAAAAAACATCAGATTGGTAGCCAATAAAACAAAGAAAAGAAAATAACAAAGATGATCAATGAAACCAAAAGCTATATTTTGAGAAGATTAATAAACATTATTAACTTCCAATCAGAATGATCAGAAAAAATACGACAAGAAAAATTATCAATATCAGGAATCATAAAGATGACATTATTGGAGATTCTATATGTATTAAATTGATAAATAGAAAATATTAGAAAAAATTATTTCAATATATTTGATAGTGTAATGAAAGGGAAACTTTTAAAAAGATACAAATTACTAAAGCTTACTCATGAAGAGGTAGATAACCTGAATAGCTCTACATCTCATTGAAAAATTTAATTTGTAGTAAACCTTTCCACAAAGAAAGCACTAAACCCATATGGCTTCACTAGTGAATTAGACTAAGAATTTCATGAAGAAATAACACCAATTCTGCATAAACTTTCCCAGAAAATTGGAGACAAGAAATATTCCCCAACTCATTTTATGAGGTCAATATTTCTCTGATAACTACCTACACAAATTCTTACAAGAAAAGACAAACTACTAGTGAATACTTTTAATAAATATAGATGCATGGATTATTATTCAATTTTAGACAATTGAATCTCATAATATGGAGAAAAGGATAATGCATTATGACCAAATGTGGTTTATCCCTGAAATTCAAGGCATATTTAACATTCAAAAATTAATTAAACTAATTATCTGTATTATTAATGAAAGAATAATATCATATGATCATCTCAATTGGTGCAGGAAAATTGTATGAAAAAAACCTAGTATCTATCCCTAACTTAAGAATGTAAGGGAATTTCTGGAACCTGATAAAAGTCACCTGCCCAGAAAATCGACAGCTAACATTGTATTTATGTGAATAATACTGAATACTTTTCTTGTATATCAGGAACAAGGCAATGATGCCCACTCCTATCACTTTATTTAGCATTGGACTTGAGATTGCAGCCACTGCCAAATGGCAAAAAAGAAAAAAAGAAATTCCTACTTGGAAAGGGAAAATTAAATTCTTCTGATTCACAGAAGAAACAATAATATATAGGAAAATTCTATGGAATCCATAAAAAAGTAAATTTAATAATATTTCTGGATATAAGATCAGTATATAAAGGTCTATTGTATTTCCGTATACTAGCAATGAACAATGCAGAAAAAATGAAACACTTAGGGAGGGATAAATCTGACAAAAGATGTAAAAGACCTATGCATTAAGAACTACAAAACATTAACTAGAAAAATTAAAGAAAACCAAAATAAGTGGAGTAAAATACATGTTCATGGGTCAGGAAACTCACTGTTGTTGGGTTGTCAATTCTCCCCACATTGATCTACAGGTTCAAAACAATCCCAATCAATATATCAGCAGGATATTTTTGTAAAACTAATAAATGAGTTTAACAAAAGTGTAGGATACAAGATTAATAAACAAAAATTATTTCTATTCTACCTACTAACAACAAACAATGTGGAAATAAAATTAAAAATATAATTGAAATAGCACCAAAAATGTGAAATGCTAGAGATAATTCTGAAAAAAATATTAACCAGAATTGTATATGAAAAATGTCAATGGGCCGGCCCGGTGGCGCACTGCTACAGTGCACCGCTTGGGGAGCGCGGCGGCGCTCCCGCCGAGGGTTCGGATCCCACATACGGACTGGTTCCCGTTCACTGGCTGAGCGAGGTGCGGGAGCAACACCGAGGGTTGCGATCCCGTTGCCGGTCCCGGTCCGGTACGGGCGTGACACTGAGGGTTGCGATCCGTTGCCGGTCACGAAAAAAGACAAAAAGGAAAAAAAAAAAAATGGCAAACATTACTGAGAAAAATTTTTAAAAACCTAAACAAATGGAGGTTTATATCTTGTTGAATCAGAAAAATCCGTATCATTTACATATAAACTTTTACCAAATTGGCCAATAAATTCAAAACAATCCTAATTGAAAGCTAAGCACACTTTTTAAAATACGAATTAATATGTTGACTCTAAAATTCATAAGGAAATGCAAATTATCCATAATGGCCAAAACTATTTTGAAAAAGCAGAATATAGTTAGGTACTTACACTACTTGACCTTGAGATATTATAAAGCTAAATAATCAAGACCAGGTGGTACTGGCATAAATATAGACAAGTTGATTAATGAAACAGAATACAAAATTAAGAAATAGACCCATATATTACATGGTCAATGGGTTTTTTATGCAGGTGCAAAGGCAATTCAATGGAGAAAGAACAGGTTTTTCACAAATGATGCAAAAACAACTGGATATCCATATGGAGAAAGATGTAAGAACATTAAAGATGAACATTCCTCAACCCATAGACAAAATTAATTCAAACTGCAACTTAGCTATATATGAGTATATACACACATACTCTTATACACATATGTATGTTACATTTTTCCCCTCTAAAAATAAAAATTTTAAATGTATAAGACTAAACTATAGTGTTTAGAAATAAACATTTGGGGATAAAACTCCAAAGACACATAAGGAAGTCATTATTTTAATTCAGGAAATTGGCTAATTTGTGGGGAGAAAGTAGGTGGTGATCATGATGGGATTTGAAATGGCAAAATTTTATTTCTCAAGCAAGGTGGTGATTTCAAGGGTGTTTACCTTAAATAGTTAATTAAGTCATGCATTTGCTGTGTGTGTTGAATCTGTATTTTATTTTCCCATAAAAGGATTTAAAATAAATAAAGGACAACAATTATAATTGTTGAGGATGCAGACAGTGGAAACTGTCACGTGAATCTGAGAACTTAAATAGTACAATCAATGGGAGGAATTAGTATTATGTGCTACGAGAGGTCACACATATACCCTGTAACCCAGCAATTCTTCTCACATGAATACACCCAACAAAAATGTGTGCATGTGTACATTGGAAAACATCTGCAGTAATGTTCCAACAGCATTGTTCGCAAAAGCTGAAAAGTGAAAACATTCCAAATATCCATAAACTGAAAAAGGCATGAACAAATTTCTATATATTCATACAATGGACCACTACAGACAAAGGTTAACAGTTGAACTACTCACATCTACAATGATGTGGATAAATCTCACCAGCATACCATTAAGCAGAAGAAATCAAATCCAAAAACAAACTGTAAGATTATAGATTATATCAAATTCAAAAACTGGCAAAGATAATCTGTGGTATTAGAAGTCTGTGTAGCGGTTAACACAGGAAGGGAGGAGGATGTTCAGAGAAGGTGACAAAGTTTGGTTTTTGATCCAGGAGGTGGTTGGTTACATAGATGTGGTCATTTGTGAAAATTCATCTACTCTACACTTAGCATTTGTGCATTTTTGTGTGTGTATATTTTACACTAAGGTAAACAATTTGTTAAAATAACGATCTTAGCAATATATGAAGATCTAAGAAAAAAGCTGAGAATCCTGCAGAAGTCCCTGCAGATAGTGGCTCGCTAAGGGACTGTAAGAAAAACTATGATTCCCAACGTATTCAGCTCACTGAAAAGACTGAGTAAAGATTAATAAGCTACAAAGGCACTCCCTTTAAAAAAGAATAACTGATGAGGAAAGCAGCATTCTTGATAAGATTATATCCATGAAGCAGTGGAACTGCCCACTAGGACCTATGTCTTACAGGAGGGACCACAAGGCTCAAGTGCCAGTGAAAACATAATGACACCAGTATTTTAAAATTAGGTTTTTTTTATTGTTGGAGATGGTCAGGCTACACAGTTCCACAGGTTTTGAATGCTTTGCCCCAACTCTACACACCCTGTAGCCCTGTGTTTTTTACAACATTGCAGAACATGCCCCAACTCTACCCCCAGGAACACATATATGAAATTTTAGTAGAAATGCCTCTATGAACTTCACTGGAATATTATGGATGGATAGTTAATCTTTCACTGGTTATATGATAGTTTGTTATTATTTTTGTCCATTTGTACTTTTCATTATGCCAATAGTAACCCCAAGATGGTAAGAACCAGTATTACTTGTGCACTCTAATGGACAGAAAATACTGTGTGATAATTTTTTAAGCTTACACTGACATTTTCTGGTATGAAACCACATGACACTAATATAAATATCATATATGAGAGTACTCCAAAAAGTTTGTGGAAAAATAGATTCAAAAGATAATAGAATCTTTCCATGAATTTTTTGAAGACCCCTCCTAGTTGCCTTGAAGTTTAAATGAGGAATTGTATGCAAATGTACTCAGCACAGTGTTTGATATACATCTATCACTTAATGTGTTAATTATCTACTGTGCCTCTTGAACAGGTTGCAGTTACTTTCCCAACTATGTTTTCCTTACATTAATATGTGAAACAGGTGCATTTGCAGAGCAGGCAGTCAGGTGAAGGTGGCCTGAGCATGTGAAAGTGATAGTCATACAGGCCAACCAGTGGTTCAGATTGAGCCTGGGAAATATTTATAATGTTTCTAGATTGTAAGCCCTCAAGGACTTCTGGCTTTTTGGTTAAATGAGGGGAACCTTAGAAAAGGGGCTTAAGGGCCGGCCCGGTGGCGCACTGGATAGGTGCGCCGCTTGGGAAGCGCGGCGGCGCTCCCGCCCGAGGGATCGGATCCCACATACAGACCGGTTCCCGCTCAATGGCTGAGCGAGGCGCGGGAGCAACACCGAGGGTTGCAATCCCGTTGCCGGTTGCCGGTCCCCAGTCCGGTACGGGGGCAACACTGAGGGTTGTGATCCGTTGCCGGACACGGAAAAAGACAAAAAGACAAAAAAAAAAGGGGGGGGCTTAATAAATATTTATTGAATATATGAACAAATTTAATTTGCTACTGATGCCATTAAACACCATGATATATTATAACACAGATTGTATAGCAGAGTTTGGGCCTTCAAATCTCACGTGTGAGGTTTTTGTATTATTTGGTATAAAATTATATGAGTAATAATATGAGTAAGCTGATGATTGTTTGACATATTAGTTACCCATCAATGGCCAGTCCTCAACAGAATTGTGGTTTAGAGAAGGTCTATCTTTGAAATCCTTTCCTTGATACATTAATAATGCTTGGTTTTTGTCCCTTCTGGAACTCAGTGCCTCTCCCAGGTCCGGCCTCCACTGGATCATGCTTTCTAGTTGTATTAATGTCTACTGGGGAGTTAACAGAAAACAGTTTAAAGAGGGTAACCTCAGTCAGGTATATCGATATTTTAATAGGGAGTTCTGAAGCTTCTCAAAGACCTTCAAGTCCAAAGGAATGAAGCTGGTTGTGGAATTTGAGGCTTTCAGACAATTAGACATATTAAGATTAGAAGGCTAACAGACCTGTGTTGTGATACTCATATCACAATGTGTAAAGAGATGCTCTCTTCTGCTCTGTAAGTTTGCCTGGTCCTTACATGGATTCATCTGTTGCAAGACAACAATCTAGGGAAGAATACTGTTTCCATTTCTTTTAATATTTGTACATTTACTGAAAATATATTTCAGAAATCGCTGGAAAATTTATTCTGTGAGCTTGAGAACTAGTCATACTTGCTTGAATACTAATCACAGATTAATAGTATCTCTTTTCACTGGCAGAGAACAGCAGAATCCTTGGAGAGCATTCCAACCAGTTTTTCAAGTCCCCACTACATAACGCTGGTATGTCCCCTGTCCTTTCTTTTGGCTGTGGTAATCTGTGTCCATTTCAAGAATAACTTTGATGGCATTGAACCATTCATTGGTTCCTTGGAGAGGCCCAATAAACAATATAACCTAGATCTTTGATTTGAAGTAGACAAAAGATAATCTGGCATGGAGACTTCTTAGCAGGGTGGGCATGAGGGCGAGGGGCATGCAGTGAGCAATGCAAGTCTTGGGGCAGACCCTGTCTTTGTCTAAAATGTAGGCATTTTGTTCATCATGAATTCTTGGAAATTAATTTCAATTTTTTAAACTGACGCATTAACATTATTTATTGTGATTACTGAGTTGGTCTTTGTGCCTTAAATTCTGTTCCTGAGATAACAGCCTGCTTTCTTCACCCTAGTCCTGGCCCAGGTACTGGGGTAAAAACGCTGTGATGGTTTTCAATGAGGCCTTGACCTTTATTAACTGAGGGCCCCTCAGTTAATCAAGGTGGTATAATCCCTGCACTAATATTTATGAGAGAGAAACAAATTAGCCAAATTAGTGCACACGTATATTAGAGACTGAGTCAAAATAAGAGAATCGTTATAGAATCACTAGAAATCACTCAAATTGCTAGAGTCTCTATATCTGCATCCTCAAGGTCACACAGTAGAACATTTCTTACTCAGAACTGGGCATTGAAACGGCAAGATTCTCAACTCCATATTTTTAAAATCAGCAATCCTCATTCAGCTTTCATTACAAATGACTAAAAGGCTGTGATTAGAGTAATTTTCAGTCTGTGGTTCCAGAGAATCCTTGGATCAGAACTGGGCATTGAAACGGCAAGATTCTCAACTCCATATTTTTAAAATCAGCAATCCTCATTCAGCTTTCATTACGAATGACTAAAAGGCTGTGATTAGAGTAATTTTCAGTCTGTGGTTCCAGAGAATCCTTGGATCACACAAAAGGATCTCAGAATGTGCCAGACTTTAGGGGTGGAGCTATATGAGAAATCTCCACATTCCCCTTTTAACCAGTGCAGTCCTTTTTTCAAAAATCTATTTTATCATGATTCCAATAGAGATAGTGTCTGAATGTTCTTTCAGCTCTAATGCTTACAAGGTGTTTGATAATCTCTTACCTAATATATTCTAGGAAATATTCACAAGTTTCACAAGGAATTGTGGTTTCTGAAAAATCTTCACTTAACCAGAACTCTCACCCCCATACCCCATCCCATAACAATTTACAAACTGTCTTACATTTTTCATGGAGCAAGAAAAGGTGGTCTGTATGTGTGCGTATGTGCTCATGTGTATGCGTGCACACATTTTGTGTGTGTGTGTGTGTGTGTGTGTGTGTATCTGGTGTGGCTCCTGATACAACAACATTTATTTGTTACAGAAATCTGCAAGCAAAGAGCTAAGAGGAATGACAGATCCCAATCAAAGTGCCACGGTGGTAGGTTCCCATAGCCGGTTGTCCTCCCCTATCGTACTTTTCAATTGCTGACATCTTTTTGTGTTCTTTACTCATTGATTGACTGGGGACATCCTCTGTATTTATCAGAAGAATAGACTGGTTAAAATTGTTTTCACTGATATGCTAAAATTTCTAACAGGTAATTCTGCCAAACAAGTTTAGTTTAAGAGTTTTAAACCTGATGAAAGGAGCAAGCAGGAATTCAGCAATATCAGTCTTGATATATTTTAGAAATAATGAAAACAATAAACACTTATCTCTCAGACTGTTGTTGGCCAGAGTACACATACCCATGGGTTCTCTTGAAGTACATTAAAGTGGTGAACTAATGGGTACGAAATTATGCTATCAGGACTGGCCAGTTTGCTCAGTTGGTTACAGTAGAATGCAGTGTTGGTAACACTAAGGTCAAAGGTTCCAATCCCCATACAGGACAGCCACCAAAAGAAAAAAAATATCAAAAACCATGCTATCTACTCTAAGGAAATCACTGTACAGTATATGTATGTATCAAAGCACACTGTACCCCACAAACAAGTATTTTGAATAAAAAATATGAATAATTTAAAAAGGAGGTAACAGTGTGGGTAGTCACAGAAAAGGAACAGTTTTCTTCCTGATTGCCTTACCAAAGTTTTCACTTACCAAATTAATAAATGACTGTATGTGGAGTTGATTTCACATTGGGATTACTAGGCCCATATTGAAAAATTTATCAAAAAACTGTGATGCTGTCAAAGGGAGATAAAATGAGTATTGCTCGGCTCTATTCCTGAGTTTTTGCTTTCATGTCTTCATCCGTTCATTTTTGCTGAATTTCTACAATGTACCAGATACTGGGTTAGTATGAATCTTTCCTCCTCAGAACGATTGTGTACGAAATCCTGTCCAACAGGGACATTGCCCCCACTGGGACAGACAATCAGGACATTTTCTAATGATCCTTCCACTCCAGAAGGACACACCTGGTTAGAATTGTCCCGTAGAGAGTGGAGAACAGAGACGCTGTTTACTGCAAGTAAACCATTTGGAGTTCTGTAATGGAAAACAACATTATTTTCTTTTTTTCACAATAGGCCTGTACATTTTATAACTGATAATTAGCTATGGCTAAGGAGATCTAGAAAAGTGTGAATACATGTAGAACAACAGAATCTAGAAAGCTTATTCTCATTAGTAGAGATAAATGAGTAACAAATACATGTTTATAGAGTTTATAGAAAATAACTTATTTTTAGCCATCTGTTTCAATTTAGAGCTTGAAGTTGGATATCCAAAATGGCTGTGCAAGACTGGGCTGAAGATTCTGGATGCAAGAGCTTCACAACCCTCTCTAGACATGTGCTACACAAATTTCTGGAACTTTTTCAGTTGCTCTGTATCCAGACAGAAAATGTTTAAGAGAAACAACTTCTTCCTGTTAATATTTACCTGTAGAACTCACAACCTGGAGCATAGAACTGCTCTAGAAAATAATTTCTCATGGATTTTCAAACGTTCTTTTGCTTAATATAAAAATAAACAGTCTCCTTACTCTGGTATTTTCCTACAAAAATGTTAATCTAGCTATTTTTAAAAGAGTCAAAACTTTGAGGAAGATGACTTCTAACCCTAAGTCTAAGAAGCAAAACATTGCTTGTAAAAGGTTCCTTCTTTGAGGGGAAAAAAATACTTACTTTAATTTGAATATGACATTATTACCACTAATTCTGGTTCAAATGAAATTTTTTCCTACAGAAATGCCATGGAAGGAGGTGCAGGGTGGTATCGATTCCACCAATTAGTTAAATTGTCTTTAAAATCATGATGGTAGCACAGGACGAACACAAAAGGCAATTCTAAATTCCAAGGGTTGCCTTTCTAGAATTCTGACAGAGAAGTCGGAGATTTACAAGAATTTCAGAATAGTCATTGCAACTGAGAAGACTTGCTCATAACTCCCATGAAGGGATTTTGAGGTCCTTGTAACACACGGATCCGAGCGTTCAGTGTGCAGTGTCTCTGCTGTCTCAGCCCCTCCCTGTCAGTTTGTCGTGGTGTGTGGTGTTGTCCTGGGAATGATTTCAGCTGTTTCTTACACCCATGCCTCTCCAGGTGTTCTCCTGTGTTCTCTGTTTTCTTTTGGGGAGCTGCTAAAGCTATCTGTAATTATTTTTTCCATTTACTGAAATAAAGTTTTCAAGTACTGAATGCAAATTTTCTGATTCAATGAAACAAAGGCTGCAAAGGAAGGAAGAAAGCCTGTTGTCCTTGGTGATGTTTTGGTTGCTATGCTGATTTTTTATCTCTTGAAGGAGAAAGAGAGATCAGCAGAGAGTGGCAGTGACTCAGCACTCTCTCCACCTCATCGGCTTCCCATGCGGTGCTTCTAATCAAAACTGTCACTTTAGGAAAGAATACTGATAAAGTGTACTTAAAGCAAAACATTAATTTAAATATTTTCTGTAAATTTGTGGATGAAAAGAAACTGTATATTTGATGTATGCTAGCCTCTTAAAGCAAACAATAGTCCTCTGACGTCCAGAGTGAAGGGACAGCCACATGGTCATGTTCTCCTGAACACTGCAGAAGTTAATGGACAACAAACACTTTGGTGATATTTTCTTCCCTTTGCAGAAGGGTCGCCTTCGTTATTTGTTATTTTTGTTACTGTTCCCAGATGTCTTCCAGAAAACTCACATCACCTCCCACTTCTGTCTTGGGCTCCACATTCAACTACTAGTTTCTGCTGATATATATATATATATATATATTTTTTTTTTTTTTTTCAAATTTCTTCTCTTTCTCCAATTATAAATACGTCCAGTATCCCTGAAATCCTCTTGCCTCATCGCTTCCTGCCTAGATAATCTCTCTAAATTTCTAATCTGCTGCTCTTCTCTCCAAATAACCCCAGGGGACTTCTGACAAGTAAGCCCCTTTTTGATTTTAGGTATTGTTCTCCAAGCTCGCCCAAACTACTTTTCCCAGGTCTTAAGGACTTTGTACACATTTCAAACGCTGCCACTATCTGCTCTACTTCTTAGGGAGTCTCTTCTTCCAATACTGTGTTCACAGTGTCTCCTTATAAGATTTTTCCTTGTAGGGCCAGTTCTGCCCCTGGTTATGGAGCCAGTTATGATTTCACAGGAATATACATCAGAAATCCCAGCTCCATCCTTTGGGATGGGGATGCGGGAAGAACTGGAATTAAGTTGTTCTGCTAACCAGACTCCTTAATCAATTTTTCAGGGATGGGGCTTAAATGTCTTCATAAGTTGCACAGAGGCCCCAGTAGTCTCTAATCCCAAATTTTACCCTACTCTTACAACTGCGTTCCTTTATCTTACCCTCGCTGCTTAGAATCTCCATCTCCAAGATTGGAGCCCTGCCCTGAGTGTCAACCTACTTAGATGCAGCCTGAAGACATTCTAGCTCTTGTCCCCTCTGCAGATTTGAATTCTTTCCCTTGAATGCACAGTGGCTGACAGGAGCTACTCCTGAAGTCTAAGTATCTCTTCTTTCCACCTCAGCCCTCATGGACTTCTCGCTGCCCCTCCCCAGGCATGCACTTAGAGCCCTTCCTGCTTCTGGAGCTTGCCCAACCTCAGACTAAGCTTGTTATAGTTCAGGGTGCTGTGTTTTGGGACACTGGGATGTACTGTGCAAGCTAGGTTATGTCTCCTCTGCCCCAGACAGAGGCAGATTTATCGGGAAAGTAATGAATCTTGAGCTTCACAGCTCATCATAAGTACTGTCCCTTCCAACACCTATTAATGTTGTATTTACATTTTTTAAAATGCGCTTCCATGGTCTGGATTTGAGTTGGGGAGGAAAAAAAAAAGTGGCCAAGTTTCTAAGAAGCAAATAGGATAAAGGGGCATCTTTGCTAGCCTGAGGTTGTAGCAGCAGCTGGGGAGAGGTGTGCATCCAGCTGGAGGTGTAAGCTGGGGTGTGTGTGTGGGGGGGGTTCTAAAAACAAACAAAACATAAAAGTTTGGACAAGCTCTCCACATGTCCATGGGATGTGCATGGTGGTGGGTACTCAAGAGCTACAGAGAGTAAAATCCAAGAGAGGACTGAACACTGGCTGAGCTTCAATTCCGTTCCCAGCCCATACACAGATCAACGGTCAGAAGGCTGAAGTTTCAGTGGCTCCCAGGGTTTAAGCAAAACCTCTGCTGACATCAATGTGCTGACCACTAAGCCATGCAGAAACAGGGGAAACCCATAGAAACAGGATAAAATATAAAAATAAGAATTAAGACCTTAGCAGAGACATCAGTGGCTGCACACTTCAGGAACGGGGAGGGGGAGCAGGGGGTGGCAATAGATTCAGGCAAGTCACTTTTTAAAATACTCAGAAAAATAAATCAGAATCCATCTTTGTTATGATATGTTTTCTAAATGTTGTTGTGCTAAGGAATCTCAAGTATATTTTATGTCAGTTCCACCAGGAATGCAGCGATGGTGATACAAAGCGAAACAAAAACCTTCACCCACCTGACCGACCACCAGCATCCCCAGTATATAACATCGATTACTCTCAAGTAATCAACCATCTCTGCATAGACATTCTGCCTTTCTCTCAAGGCATCTGTCCTGTCAGATGATTATAGAATTCAAAAGCTCATATTGCATGTGCTAAAATTGGTAAATCATATCAAAAGTAATAACTTCTATAGTAGCCTGCCAATGGCTATGTACCTGATAACCCAAATGGCTATGTACCTGATAACCCGACAATGAAGTACACACGACGGCCACTAGGTGGCCACATAGCTAACAAAATTTCATGTTAGCTGGAAAACCATACGATGATTCCACTCCTTTCCAGACAATAATACTAGGCCATCAAAATCAGAGCTTTAAGTAAACTTATTAATTTGCTACAATGGCTATGTACCTGATAACCCAACAATGAAGTACACACGACGGCCACTAGGTGGCCACATAGCTAACAAAATTTCATGTTAGCTGGAAAACCATACGATGATTCCACTCATTTCCAGACAATAATACTAGGCCATCAAAATCAGAGCTTTAAGTAAACTTATTAATTTGCTAAACTTCATTCCTGATTATCAGAGATGGAAATTTGGGTGAATTTTGCCAGACACCAAGTTCTTCAATGCCAGGGCTGTGGATGGAAGTAGCCAAACAGGAATACACCTTTAACAAAAGGAGAACTGGGCTGACAGCAGGAAGGCTTGGAATGAGATTTTATTTTTATTTTTATTATTCATGGAGCACAGAGCTGTCAGCACCTGTGCCCAAGATGTGATCAGACAAATACTATCAGCACGCCCACCACCTCAAATTGCAATTTTAATGGAGCTTTTAAGTTTGAAAGATAAACCTTCTTGACTCAGTTCTCAAGTCTGATCTTCTTGATGTTGACATGTTGATAGACCCAAATAGCACAGTCTCCTGAAAACTACTATGTTTGGGTGTCTAGTTTTTGCTTTTTAGTTATATATTATCTGTTCACTTATTTTTTTTGGAATGCCAGCAAATTGGCTCACTGCAGCCATGGAAACTTGAAGAGGTCTCTCTCGACCCAAATAGCACAGTCTCCTGAAAACTACTATGTTTGGGTGTCTAGTTTTTGCTTTTTAGTTATATATTATCTGTTCACTTATTTTTTTGGAATGCCAGCAAATTGGCTCACTGCAGCCATGGAAACTTGAAGAGGTCTCTCTCTTTCCCAAGGGATGTTGATGGATAGTAAATGTCAGTAGAAGCCGGTGGCCTGTGTGACTTGTCTGATTTTGTGGTGGACTGTCGATGACAAATGAAGCCTCTCTTCTAATCACTGCCAAGTAAGACATATTGATTAGATTCCTGGGCTTATTGGAAGTTTCCTGATCACTTCCCAACTGAAGGTCAGGCTTTTAGCAAACACAAGAGCTGTTATATAGGGAAGGGGGTGGGGGGACTTGTGGGCTTGACAGAATCCATTAACGTCCTTCTCCAGGAAAAGTTGCAATTGTGAGCTACATGTAATGGATATGGATTGCTAAGAAAAGAAGATACATATAAGTTTAAACCTCAGGGGTCTCCAGGACAAAAGGAATAGAAAAAGGATTTTCGATCAGAGGAATGCTAGCTGTCTTAGAGAATCGTACATAAATGAATTCAAAAGCCTCTGCTGTTTGCTCAAGGATACCAGCAATTTATTGAGGGCACACTATTTGTCAGGCATTATTCTAAGTGCTTTGTTTGTATTATTTTATTTAACTTATGAGTTAACTACTATTATTACTCTCATTTTACAACTTGAGAAAATTGAGGTCAAAAGAAGTCAAACAATTTGCCAAAAGAGAGACAGCAGATTAAGTAGTATAGTCAGGAAGTCTAACTCCAGATAGTATTACTACCCCACTGGCGTAAAAACAATCTTCATAGAGAACAAGCACAGTCCCCCTCCCCACATTCAAGCCTGTGAAATTGAAATTAAGATATCTCCCTCCCATTCTCATCTTCCGTTCACCAAACTTCCCAACCTTTGCAGCCACAGCAACGATGATGTATGGGTTTCCATAGCAAGAAGGAGTCAGCTCTGAATGCAGCTGGACCATGGCTGAGATGCTATTGCCCAGGTTAGAGGCTCATTTGGAGGTAGACCTGAGACTTTAACATCTTTTACAGCTCTCATAGGCCACTCCCTAGCAGGTTCATTGAGATCCTGGAATCTTCTCTTTGTTTTACAAAGACCTCATATTCTGGAAGATGCTTTCTCAACAGAGCAGGTTTCTACCTGGATGGAGTTTTGATTCAGCACAGGCAAGCTGTCTATGGCCACCTCTGCAGTCACCATAGAGGGAAGGGAAGCCAAAGGGATTATTGACACCCGGCAGCAGCCAGTGGGTCAGGGTAGACAGGGGTCAACAAAGAGGTAGAGTTTTCTTATAAAGCCTTCTCTCTTGTTTTAATAAAATGAAGAATGTACCCAATGAGTGATAACTTTGAACACATAGAGAAAGGGAGAATATCTGCACAACACCTTGAGGACTCCAAGCATCTGCTAGACTTGTTCACATTTCTATTAAATGTGCAAAGCTCTGTGGTGAGGATTATTTTACAAACAAGGAGATTAGAGATAAGAGGTCGTCAAACACACAGCTGGTAAATGGCGAACAGAAAACTAAAGCCAAGTTTCAGACCAAAGCCATGGTCTGTTCCAGTTTTGAGGCTGACCAATGTGACATCA